AGGCTGGATACTGGAACAAACTCCTTTGCTTATTGCAAGTGACGCCAGTTGCCTAAAGGAAATAACTCATAGGGACTAATTTAGGTTTCTGTAGTAAACTCACCGATTTTAACTCTTAGGAAAAAAATAATGGTAGTTTCACTTTGGAAATAGTGCCATTTGCCCAAAGGTAAAGAACTCTTAGGGAAAAATGGTCTGCTAGAGTAAACTCCTCTCCAAAATGCAAACGGCATCATCAGACTAAAGGGAAATAACACTTAAGGAAAAAATTAAGGTCTGTTACAGTGAACATCCCTGCTTATTCGAAATGACGTCAGTGGCCCAAACGGGAATAACTCTTAGGGAAATAATAAGGTCTGCTAGAGTGAATTATAAATGGCGTCTTTGGTCTAAAGAGAAATAACTCTTAGGGAAAAAATAAGGTCTGCTTGAGAAAACTCCCCGGCTTATTGCAAATGGCGTCATTGGACGAAAGGGAAATAACTCTTAGGGAAAAAAATAAGGTCTGTTTGAGTGAACTTCCCTGCTTATTGCAAATGGCGTCAGTGGCCCAAAGGGAAATAACTCTTAGGGGAAAATAAGGTCTGCTAGAGAAAACTCCCTTGCCTTACTGCAAATGACGTCAAGAGACAAAGGGAAATAACTCTTAGGGAATAAATAAAATCTGTAAGAGTGAACTACCCTGTTTATTGCAAAAGGCGTCGGTAACCAAAAGGGAAATACCGTCTGCTAGAGTAAAATACCCTGCTTATTGCAAATGGCGTCAGTGGCCCAAAGAGAAATAAGTCTTATGGAAAAAATAAGGTCTGCTAGAGTGAACTTCCCTCATTATTGCAAATGACGTCAGTGTCCTAAAGGTAAATAACTCTTAAGGAAAATATAAGGTTGTTAGAGTGAACACCCCTGCCTTACTGCAAATGGTATCACTGGACAAAGGGAAATAACTCTTTGGAAAAAAAGGTCCGTTAGAGTGAACTCACCTGCTTATTGCAAATGGCATCGGTGAACACAAGGGAAATCACTTTTGGGAAAAAATAAGGTTTGCTACAGTGAACTTCCCTGCTTATTGCAAATGTCATCATAGGACTTAAGGGAATTATTTCTAAAAAAATTAAGGTCTGCTTAATGCAAATGGCGTCGGTGACCAAAACGGAAATAACTCTGAAGGAAAATATATGGTCTGCTAGAGTTAACTCTCCTACTTATTGAAAATGGTGTCAGTGGCCCAAAGGGAAATAACTTAGGAAAAAAAATGAGATTGTTAGAGTGAACTCCCCTGCCTTACTGCCAATCGCGTCACTGAACAAAGGAAAATAACTATTAGGGAATAAATAAGGTCTGTTAGTGAACTCCCCCTGTTTATTGCAAATGGCGTCGGTGACCAAAAGGGAAATATTTCTTAGGGAAAATAATAACGTCTGCTAGAGTGAATTCCCCTGCTTACTGCAAATGGCGTCACTGGACAAAGGGAAATAAGTCTTAGGGAATACATAAGGTCTGTACATGTGAACTCCCCTGCTGATTGCAAATGAGGTTAGTGGCCAAAAGAGAAATAACTCTTATGAAAAAGATAGGGTCCGTAAAGTGAACTCCCCTGCTTATTGCAAATGGCGTCAGTAGCCGAAAGGGAAACAGCCATAAGAGAAAAATAAGTTTGTTAGAGTGATCCAACCTGCCTTACTGCAAATAACGTCAGTAGACAAAGGGAAATAACTCTAAGGGAAAAAATAATGTGATCTAGAGTAAACTCCCCTGCTTATTGCAAATGACGTCATTACACTATAGGGAAACAACTCTTACGGAATAAATAAGGTCTGTTAGAGTGATACCCCTTGCTTATTGCAAATGGCGTCATAGGACTTAAGGGAAATAACTCTTATGGAAAAAATATGGTCTGCTATAGTGAACTCCCCTGCTTATTGCAAATGGCGTCAGTGACCAAAATGGAAATAACTCTTAGGGGAAAATAAGGTTTGCAAGAGTGAACTCCCCTGCTCTTGCTTATTGCAAATGGCGTCGGTGACTTAAAGGGAAATAACTTTTTGGGAAAAATAAGGTGTTCTAGGGTAAACTCCCCTGCTCATTGCAAATGACGTCATTACACTATAGGGAAACAACTCTTATGCCGGCTCGCGTATTACGTTAGGATTTTACTTAGAAACAACCTAAAACTCCGAATCCATCCAAAAATTTAATCTAAGCTTGGCTTCCAGCTTTCTACAAAATTTATCTGTCTGGGCTGGAATCCAAAATAATTAAGCCAATCAAATTTGATCTTACATAGCGTCAAAAAACCTTCAATTTTCACGCCATTTTTAAAAAGGAACAAGTATTGCTTTGAGCGCAAAGATGATAATGATGATAAAATATTTGTTTTCATGAATTCTTTTCAATAAATCATATTTACACTGACTTTTGATTTAGCGATTTCACCTGTTTTCTCTGTAGTAAGTTAAATAATTAACAATTAATTGGTTAATTAACATAAGTGTACATCTGGTTCTGTGCATATTTTCTTTTTCTTTTTTCCGGTAATTTTATTTTTTCCGGTATTTTGTGTATGTAATAACTGGGATATACTATTCTCCGGTCTGGTCGCTTCCGGTCTCTCCCGGTCTATTTTGACCGGGATTTACGAGACTTGAAAACTTGTACAAATCAAATAATCATGCCACATGAATCTAAATTCGCCCACACCCAAGAGAGTTCTTCAGTAATATATTCCTGTATAGGACTTGTGTCTGTCACTCATTCCAATACTAAATAACATATTACAACTTAACTTTGTATAAAGAGACATCTTTATGAATTCTACATATCTAACATTTTTGGTCAAGGTCAACAGGCCATATAGTAAATGTGCATAGACATAGGGACTTCATTCTTATCTGTTTACATGCATCTTCATATATACTCATATTCCCCTTTGTTAAACTGAGAGAACTGGCTTCCGTAACTTTATGTCACTTTTATTTTGATGTTGGCTGAAGTCTCTTCAGGTACAGAACTGTCATTTTTACATTTAAACACACCCCTGGAATAAAATTACGAAGCGAGTCGCTACTAGCTTTTTTAAAAGCTAACCTTGTGGAATAAATAAGGTCTGTTAGAGTGATACCCCCTGATTATTGCAAATGGCGTCATAGGACTTAATAATTCTTATGGAAAAAATATGGTCTGCTACAGTTAACTCCCCTGCTTATTGCAAATGGCGTCAGTGACCAAAATGGAAATAACTCTTAGGGGAAAATAAGGTCTGCAAGAGTGAACTCCCCGCTCTTGCTTATTGCAAATGGCGTCGGTGAACTAAAGGGAAATAACTTTTGGGGAAAAAATAAGGTGTTCTAGAGTAAACTCCCCTTCTTATTGCAAATGATGTCATTACACTATAAAGAAAACAACTCTTATGGAATAAATAAGGTCTGTTAGAGTGATACCCCCTGCTTATTGCAAATGGCGTCATAGGACTTAAGGGAAATAACTCATATGGAAAAAAATGGTCTGCTACAGTGAACTTCCCTGCTTATTGCAAATGGCGTCAGTGGCCAAAATGTAAATAACTCTCAGGGGGAAATTAGATCTGCTAGAGTGAACTCCCCTACTTATTGCAAATGGCGTCGGTGACCAAAAGGGAAATAGCTCTTAGGGGAAAATAAGGTCTGCTAAAGTGAACTCCCCTGCTTTTTGCAAATGGCGTAATCGGACTTAATGAAAAAAAACTGTTACGGAATGAATATTGTCAGCTATAGTGAACTCCCCTGCTTATTGCAAATGGCGTCATTGCACTAAAGGGAAATAACTTTTGGAGAAAAAAAGGGTCTGCTTGAGTGAACGCCCCTGCTTATTGCAAATGGCGTAATTACACTAAAAGGAAATAACTCTTATGGAAAAAATAAGGTCTTTTAGAGTGAACTCACCTGCTTATAGCAAATTGCGTCGGTGACCAAAAGGGAAATAACTCTTAAGGAAAGATATAAGGTCTGCTTCAGTGAACTCCCCTGATTATTGCAAATGGCGTCATTGCACTAAAGGGAAATAACACTTGGGGAAAATTTGGTCTGCTTGAGTGAACTCTCCTGCTTATTGCAAATGGCGTCAGTGACCAAAAGGGAAATATCTCTTTAGGGAAAAACTAAGGTCTGTAAGAGTGAACTCCCCTGCTTTTTGCAAATGGCGTCATTACACCAAAGGGAAATAACTTGTGGGAATAAAATAATGTCTGTTTAAGTGAAGTCCCCTCGTTATTGCAAATGGTGTCAAAGGACTAAAGGGAAATAACTCTTAGAGTCAAAATAAGGTCTGCTTAAGTAAACTCTCATGCTTATTGCAAATTGCGTCATCGGACAAAAGAAAACTCTTAGGGAAAAAATAAGGTCTGCTATAGTTAACTCACCTGCTTATTGCATATGGCGTCATAAGACTAAAGGGAAATAACTCTTGGGACAAAATAAGGTCTGCTAGAGTGAACTCCCGTTTATTGAAAATGGCGTCATTAGCCCAAGGGGAAATAACTTTTAGGAACAAAAATGAGGACTGTAACTGTGAAATCCACGCTTATTGCAAATAGTGTCAGTGGCCCAATAGGAAAAAGCTCTTGGGGTAAAAATAAGGTCTGCTAGAGTGAACTCCCATGCTTATTGCAAGTGCAAGTATTTTTCCCCAAGAGCTATTCAATGGTTATCTGTATTTCTTATAATAAACATCAGCCATATTTTCCTTGTGCTAGTGCAGTTGTGTATTTATCATAAAACTATAGGACGCTTACTGCAGTCATCAGTTTTATCATTCCGCCCTGAGACATGCACAAGAAAAAACAACGGCACATGGTCAAGTGAATATCTATTAGTCCGCACATGGTCACGTGAATATCCATTAGTGCTGTCGCATGTTTTCTTCTCTGTTAATATTAACCTGCGTACGCAATTTTTATGCCAGAATTTTGTTTTATGCCATGTCTTGTTGTAATTGAAATCTGGATGTAAAAAATGAGATGAAGGAACTTTGATCTTTTCAAATAATTCATTTATCTTTTAATGCACACATGGTTGTGAATGGTCTATGGCTTGAACAATTTTGATTGAGCATCCGTCCTCGCCGGTAATCACTTCACAGCCCGGTGGTGGGGCAAAAACCCCTGCATATTTACCGTACCTATATCGGAGAAAACAAAAATAAACTGTTGAAAATAGTTTGCCTCCAAGTTCACATACTACATAAAGTTAGTTGACTAGCTCAATAAACTCAATACAAGGTACGTAGAAGATATAAAACCGCCTCCTTGGTCGAGGGGTTAGAGTCGATTACTTCTTATCCATTTACCTCTCTGGCGTGGGTTCGATCCCCGGGAGATGCTTTGGTAGTTTAGCACGAAGGAAGGTAGTCTAGTACTGGTGTAACTCTCCAGGAACGATGGTTAGGAAACTACCCGCCTATATGACTGAAATACTGTTGGGAAAAGGCGTAAAATGAAACAAACAAACAAGAAGATATAAAAGTCATGAAGTGATATAAATGACAGAATGAGCCTATAATTACTCACCCATAATTATGATAGATTGACGATGATTTAAATAACTCTCTATTAAGTTTTTATTTAAACATAAGTTTATTTCGAACAAGTATACATATACAATTTACAAATAAAAATTTAAAACACATGAAATGAATGAAAAAGTATCAGAACCGAAAACTTGTGCTTATATAGGTTTTTTTTCTAGTTTTTGTTTGCTAAATTTGGTAGCGTGTATATGTATGTACATGGATATGCTTGAAGATACAATGAGTAATTATTAAATAATAATAAATTTTATGTTATATACAAAACATATGAGTTCGTAGTTGGTTAGTAGAGTGTTCGAAAAATATATTATGAAAAAAAAATAAACCGTCAGAAAAAGAAAGGAAAAGAAGATGTAAGAAAGCAAATATTTCCAGATGGCGCTTACAGTATGGCATTGATTAAAGAGGAATATCGTTCTTCCTGAAATCTCTTGCTTTTGCTGATATAATCTTGAACAGCAAGAAAACTCTATATTTAAAAAACATCATATCAAGTACTCAAATTTTGACTGGCTCTACTAGTGCTCACATGTGTGCTCATAGCATAAACGCAAAGTGTACAAACCTAAACGATAATATTGTATTATACTTACCCGCAGCAAGACAAAAACAAAGAAGATGAACCAGAGTGTCGGGAGCATGTACACTTCTCACAGACATTCGGCATAAGAAGCTCACTTCCGGCTAGCATTGTAATGCCATCTTTAGGTGTACAATGATCTCCATCTAAATTTGATGAGCAAATTTAAAATATTCATTTTACTGGCATATAGGTTAGATGTAAATTAGAAGCACACCAAACGCCAAAAAGCTTTAACAGAACAGACACTGCCAAATTCCATTATAGGTAAATAAATTTCGGAATAGGAATGTCTATAAAAAGTATTTACCTTCCAGTTTAGCGTAACATGCACCAAATGTTATATCTATGCAATAAGCTACTAAAACAAAACCAAACAAAGTCTTCATTTCCCTTCAGAAGTGAGTTAAAATGTGACTCCGCCAGGCTTAATCTTATCGTCTAATATCAAGTTCAAGGCGTGATTAGGTGCATTACTTTATATAGTACTAGCAACTAGTTTCATGTAAAGTAGATTTACCATGACTTCAACGCCTACAGATAATCGATACTTCCATAAAATTTGTGTTCGGTCTTAAGATATCTCACATAACGTGGTTGCCATAAAAAGAACTTAAAAATAAAATATATTCCATTTGGTCAATAATCGGTTTTAAAATCAAAACCAACGAGGCTGTGATGATTTGGGTGGGATTGTGGTTATGGGCCTTTTATTAAAGCAAAGAATTACTCTAAATTTGAATCCTAAAATGGTAGTTTTAGTTACATATTTTATATGAATGATATGTCGTTATTACTGTGTATTTTGAAATGTCATTATCTCTCATAAAGCTGTAATTTACTAATACATGTACATGTATAGCTTTGCGTCACACTGCTCAGTTTCGTTGGTTTTCTGTCATTTTTAGTATATAAGGAACGACATTCAATATACGCAATCCCAAACAGTACCCAGGTAAAGGTCCCGTTAATTATCACGCCTTGGTCCGTCCCATGAACATGATTTCCACAAAATACGCAATTTATATCTATCTTACAGGATATATCATATCAGGGGATAGGGGGGGGGGGGCGACAGAGATGCAGATGATAATGTTTATGATGACGATATTGATGGAAAATATACAATGTTCAATGTTAAGCATATTAAAAACAGTACAAACTTAAAAATCTAATACATGTAAAGTTCCGTAAGGAACAGCACAAAACATATGCCGATGAATGTACAAAGAATTACTCCGTAATTTATTATTTCGCTATTTGAAATTCAATACAATATCTTCTTTGCTATTGTAGTAAGGTGTCGACAAAAAAAGCTCTCCACAAAGTGATATTCGATTGAGAGTACATACCATATACCAAACTTTGAATGTATCACTGACCTTCAACTTTATGATAACAATAACCAAACGTTACTTCTTACAAGCAAACGAATTTACCAACTTAAAGTAATTTTCATTTTTTAAGAGATATAAAATCTTATCACTTTTGTCTTGCCTTATATACACTGTTATCTGATTATTTCAAGTCGTATGATGTATACTTATACATAGGACCACGCACACTGATATTGATAAAGGTTTACACCTTTAAGTATATTTTATACGACAGCTATTAGCAGCTGAAATTCACGGTGTCCTGCTCGTGCCAGTTAAAGGGCATATTTTGACATGCAAGATGTTTTTATCTAAAAGTCTTGTGTAGCCTTTCTGTATCTTTATAGATACAGCAGCAAGATCTTACATTCATTCAAGAAACTATTGGAGCCATTCGAAGTTGCATTTGTCGCATGCTTAACATTAAGCCTCGTGAGAATCAAAATGTAAAATCTTCGCGATGATTAACATTAATTCTTGCATGTTTATTTCGATAACTTTAGCTTACATACAGTACCAGTACTGTCGTGAAAAATCTTCGAAAGATAATGTAAATCTCGCTACCTATCTATAAATAAGTCTCAGTCCTTGCAAATAAAACAAGGGCATAGAGAATGTAGAATTTTCAAAGTTAAAAAAGAGAAATAGTTTTGTCAAAATCCACATTAGAGTTATGGGACTTTGATAGAAACCACCTGTCATGCTCTCAAACAAGTAAGTTCCCCTTCAGTACTTTTGGAGATACCGACCTGCACGCAAATACTTATCCAAAGTGTGACACTGACGCCAACAACGACACCGACTGAGTGATTACAATAGCTCTCCCTATTTTTCGAATAGTCGGCCTAAAACAAAAAGAGGTTTAGTCAATCTTAAATCTTAACAAGCGATATTTTAACTACTTCAAACAGGGCGCCATAGAAACGGACCGAATGTGATAGAGATTAAATACAAATACAAGACATTTATATAGCGCAAAAATGTATTAAATATTCGATTGCGCTGTACTACAGTATTAAGACTTTATACACATATGCTTGATCAAGACACTCCCAAACCCAGTCTCGATGGCACAGCCAATCTACAACTCTAGTTTAAAAACAGTCCAAACAAGTATGTTTTAAGTTTGGCCTTAAACTGATTTTCATTGGAAATGTCCTTCAGATAGTCTGGCAATGAATTCCACCATTTAGGTCCCACAATAGCCAAAGATCCATAAGCAAGTTTAGAATTTGTTGATGGTATATCAAACTGAGTGTGGATAGAGGATGAGATCCATTGCAAAAGTTTAATGTGAATGAATCAAACCGTGAACAAGGATTTCTGCAGATTTCTGAGTGAGATGTTTTCTGATTGCTTTCAAATGTCTTAACTGCATGTGTGCAATCTGACACTTCTTTTGAATATGGATGTCAAAACTTAAAGTGCTGGTCATCTGTACTCCAAGATCTCTCACATTGTCAACACTGTTGACTTCGACCCCGTCAACATTGACACTGGAAATTTTCAATTTCTTCAGCTGATGTCTTGTACCATGATAAATGATGATTTCTGTTTTGCTATTGTTCATTTTTAACTTAAATCTGGTCATCCATGACACAATATCATTAAGACAGTGAGTTTTTGGCGAACGATTTCTTCACTGTGATGGTCACCAGCTCTAATTTTAAATGCCACTTTATGATCGTCTGCATATCCATACAATTCCGCCGGATATTTCTGGACTATTTTGTTAAGGGCAGCTATATAGAGAGTAAATATCACCGGTCCAGCACAAGAACCCTGGGGAACCCCGAACCTCAGTGGTTCAGTATCCGACGAGGACTGTTCAATGACAACTTTCATATCTCTGTTGGTTAAATAAGATTCGATCCACTTTAATAGAATCCCCTATATGGCAAAGTCTTTCTGTAGGATTTCAAGTAACATTGGTATATCGATAGTATCGAAGGCGGCGCTTAAATCAATCATTACAACTATTGTCACATGGCGGCTATCAGCTGTTTCTAGCAGATCACTGTACATTTTCATCATAGCAGACTTACGGTATGCACTTTGGTAAGTAAATTCTTCTTTTTTTTTAATTTAAAAAATGAACCAGACTAAATGGGAAACAAAAAGTCATTATATACAAGCATACAAGAATATTTTGTTTTTATCGCTTTGTTGTGTGGTGTCAATGGTTGTATCTCTTGTCACTTAATATTTTTTCAAGTCCTACGTAAATGAATGCATTTTTGACATGGTTGAAAAATATTTTTTTTTTGTCTTGACAATTTATACCATCCGAAACAATGACGGTTGAAATTCAGAAGAAGAAACATTTGCTTATGAACTAATTGAGTAATATTACGTATAAAGATTAAAGTGAAAGGGTCTATAATGGAAGGCCTGTAATAAAATATGTAATTATGATGATAGTATTTAGTATCATACATTTCGACAAAGCACCAGAGAATTATAGAAAGATGTCGTTGGCAAATGTGAAATATATGATTCGAAATCACATAAAATTTAATTCTTCTAGAACAAAATAGCATTCATCATATCTAGTCATACTTAACAGATAGGGTACAAAATGGTTGCAGTTTGAAGAAACACTTGTCATTTTTCCAAGCGAAACACTAAGTAAACACCTATGAAACGCTTGTAAATGCAGTAAAATTTGTAACAATTTTGGTGAAATAAAGGTTTCACTCATAATGTCCCAAATGGTCTTTTTTGACAAGCTATTTGTTCTTTTGGTATATAAAGTGTGTAAATGTTCGTAAAAAGGACAATAACCTAGATAATCCGGCAAATGGTGTTTTAACAGTTAGCTCTAGAAAATGGTGTTTTTTACGAAAATATATACACTTTATATACAAAAATAACAAATAGCCGGTCAGAAAACGACTATACCATGCGGAAATATCCCGGACATGTTGCTTATGTTAGGGCTTTCGGCTTCATAGTGTGCAGAAAAGAGCCTCCAAACTAGAATAATCAAAAGGCTGCAAGCTCTGTGGTATTTTCTGATCTTTATCTAAATCGAATTGTATATCTGTATGCATTTTCCTGTATCCTCTTTATTTTTATATACTATAATTCATCTTACAGGGCACCGAGATGAAGCGAATTCGTTTAGAATTTTTACTATAACAGTTTGAGTTTGATACATGTTTATTCTTTATGACAGCCACCACCTTATCCTTGCATATCGTGGCTACTTTCTTAAAAAAGACATTAAAAAATAAAAGTTACCTCGACTGGGATTTGAACCTCAGACTCTCACACCATAAACATGCGCGTTACCCCTGCACCACGGGGAAGTAACACGAATAAAGCCTGCATAAAGTCAAACGATTCTAAATTTAGAATTTCCATTTCGGGTTTGTAATCGAGGTATTTTGTTCCCTCCCGATAAACCTGTTGTTGTTGTTTAACACTGATGTAAATAATTTAGCGAAAATTTTCTCGCCAAAACAGTCCGACATGTATATATTCCACTACTCGACAGTCAGATTTATTTGTGTACTACGCTCTGAAGTATTTGGTAATCGACAGCGCTAAGATAGCATTTTTATTGATTAAAATGATATTCATACCCGTAATTTGTGACTGTGCATTTATTGACAATTCTATAAGCCAATGCTACTTTTAAACTTTGAATGCGTTCTTATGTGTTGATTACTTAAAAAAAAATATTTCTTTATTTAACATCGCTAGTTTTAAGCTGTTCTGAGACCTACTAGGTTAGGTTTGTCGTGAAAATCTGTGTCAGATATTGAATGTCAGCATTGTATTTCCTGATCTACGATCAGAAAATACAAAATGCTCCAGAAAATTGTCAGAAAACGGCCAACCATTTTACGCGAAACGCTTGCTATCATTTTCCTAGCGCTAAAACTTAGCCTTATATTGCTCTTAACATCATATTCTAAATTAACGCTATTAACCACTGCTACTCAAAACTCGTTTGTCTTAGTATTTGATGCCTAAATGACGTATAATTTCAGAACGATCAGACATAATTATCAATTTCAGATCTACGACATTTTTACCCTAATGTGACAATTTTATTTCTGTTCTAAGTTTAGTAAAAATAAGGATAAAAGTAAAACTTCATTTAAGAAATAACGACAACCAACGTTTTGATTTATATAATTTAAAACCACGTTTGATTTTATAAAACAAAGAAAAAACAACAATAGTTCAAAAACCATTTGAACATATCTCGTAGATGTTACAATGTCTTTACAAAGTTGTAAAAACATTGTAACCAGTTATACATGAATTGGGAGTGAAATAAAATATGTTACAAGTATAAGAGCATTAGAATGGTTACATAGATGTTACAATATTGTTAGAGAGTCGTTACAGCATTGCTACAAATGTAACGATACGAAAGTTTCATATACATGCGTTACAAACGTTACAATTGTTACAGCAAAAAGAAATATGAATAGATTAAGAGCCACGTGTCTTTCAACCGCGTTGCGATCCGCTAATCACTATGCTATTTCAGAACACGTGGTTATAAGAAAAGTTTTGTAACTATGGGGATATTTCAAATTTGAACATAAAAGACAATTGTAAAACACAAGCAAAAGCATGTTATGGCTTTTCCTTCGTATTCTTAAAACACATTGTAATAGATATAAACTTGATCTGCTATTTGCAAATAATTTGCATATTTACTTCTAAGAAGTAAATTAAATCTATATAGTTTTGTTCATAGAAAGGTATGCTTCGAAGAACAGTTTCATCAAATAAGTGCTAATTATAAATTTTCGTTACGATGCAGGTCAGTAAATATGGGGTTTTCTTCCATTTAAAAAACAACTGTATGAATTGTTTCCCGAGTTTACTTGTTTAATGTTAACTTAATGTGCAATAGGAATAATTAAATAATTTATTCAGTCAGCAACATGTCAAACGTCAACATATTAAACCATATCTGATGGTAGTGAATAGCCTTTTCCACCAGGATATTGTTGGTTACCCAAATTTTGATTTTAAAGTCCGATTTTACTTCGAACAAAATGTTAATAATTCAAGGATGTGTAAATCCTTTTTATAAATTCAGCAGGTGTGTTGGATGTTTAGAAGTCTTTTTACTTATATCAGGTGTACAATAAATATGGTGTTTATAACCTAACAAACAAGTAACTTTAGAGTAAAAGGATATTTCTAAAAAAGATCCATAATAAAGAAAGCAGTTTTCACTGTATCAGGGGGCGCAATTTTTGATCACATTATATATACCTATCGTCACGTGAGTTATAGACGAGTAGGAAACGTTACGTAAATTTCGCAATTATCGGGCGTACACATACAAAGATAATTGATATTTGCCACTATATTTACTTTTTATAAGACAATATAGTTAAAAATATATGATAAGGATGAAAATTGTTTCATCGCTGGAGAGTTTCAGCTAAACTTTTGAGAACTATATTCACTGCCCAAGAAAAAATATTATTCGGATAAATTACTCGATATTTGTTATGTATATGCAAATTTAAAAAGGAGAGTTTGTGTTTTACCAAAACATCTATCTGATTGTTTCCACTATCTATATGTAATTGTTTTCAATTATTTTTTTTTTTCATTCATTCATTCATTCATTCATTCATTTATTAGTTTTTGTGTGTTGTATTTTTCTTGAGGTGGTTTGGGTAGGGTTAAGGAATCAAACTATTTGGATGCAAGAAGCTTCACTCTTCATATAAATAATTTTATTCATGTCTTTTACTGTACACATGGTTGTGAATGATCTATAGCTTGAACCATTTTAATTGAGCATCCGTCGTCGCCGGCAATCACTTTACATCCCGGTGGTGGTGCATAAACTCCTCCATGTATACCATATCTGTACAAGAACAAAAAAATAGGTAAATTGGAGCTTATTCGCATCAGAGTAGACATTCATAGCTTACTTGTTAATTAATTAAGTTCTAGTTTCATACAAGGTAATACAAATGAATATTAAAATGAATCATAATGTACCATACACTAACAAATACAAATTTTAGTCTTAAATTAAACCGTCGAGAATTTGTCCCACATCATGCACATAAGAGAACATTTATGCTGAAGTTATTTTTGTTAAATTTTGTAAAGAATATATTTCTAAATTGGTTATGTTTTAATAATAAGACAATACTTAAAAAAACGATTAAGGTTAGAATTAATAACTACTTACATCAGTTTCATATGCCAGTATTTAATAAAGAAATTAAATAAATTTCATAAATGGTCGATACAAATTACAGTGTATTTGAAACGAAACGAAACTTAACGAAACAATAAAAACAAAATGTTCGATTTTTAAACACATGTATATGGTTTTTACATAAACAAAAGAAATTTTAATTTTAAAGTAAACCATCTTTGTGACAATACTGATTGGTTTTTCAAGCAACATATGCACGTTGGGGCTTTATTTGTAATGTTTGGTTTTACGGCGAACCAACACAATTTAGGTCACATGGCGGCGAAACAAGAAAGATGATTTTGGCTAACCTCGGTTGTTACAAATTTCAGAAACACCAGGGGTCAAAACCACCTCACCGCTAAAGCTTAAAAAATGCACTATCCGGTGCTTCAAACCCATTGAGTCGCATCTTACGATCACACAGATGCAATTTTGATGCCTCAACCCTTAAAAGCAACTTGTCAGCCACAAGAGGTCACGTTTTAATGCGAATGGTGAGTAGGGACGAATGTTATCATTAAAAAATTTTACCTACCCGCAGCAAGACAAAAACAAAGAGGATGAATCAGATTGGCGGGAACATGTACACTTTTCACACTTTTCCGGCATGAGGAGCTCACTTCCGGCTAACATTGTAACGCCATCCTTAGGTGTGCAATGATCTCCATCTAAATTTAAACAGTAATGGATTACAGCTAGACGCATTTTCGGTTTCAGATCGTAATCATGTGACCCATTTTAGAACCCCGACACCACTGTTAAAATTCACAACAATCAAAGTGAAGTCTAGGTAAATGGTGATTTTTGGTTTATTATTTTCGATAAACTGTTGGGCTTTTTTTTTTTTTTTTTTTTTTTAAAAAAATGTCCTGGTTTGAAGACATTTAACGAAACAATTGAAAAAAAATTAAGTGACAATATGGTTTACTAAACGCAAATAGCCCTAAACGAAAATTGTCGAATGACATTACGGATAATTACGATTTATCATTGGAATGAGAATGTCTATAAATTACACTTACCTTCTACTTTAGCAAAACAATAACCAAACGTTACATCTATAACACAAGTAAATAAAACGAGAACGAGAAAGATCTTCATTTCTTTTAGAATTTTACTAAACTGCGACTCAAGATGATCTTATCTTATCTGTTACTGTTCAGGTTCAAAGGTGATTAGGGGTCAGATATATAGCAGCAAGTTCAAATATATAGTTTCACATTTTTTTTAAAAACTTTGGTTTTTCTTCTTGTTATTATTTAGGCTACTTACCTGATAGCGAAGCAAAATGCTTATAGTAACCTCAAGTTTTAAATTTGTGACACCTTTTGAAAAGATAAGAACATGCCAAAATATTTTGTATAGTTATTTCTTCAAACACAATAAGTTTAATTGCATTCTTTAATATAGATTAAATACTGGACATAAATTATAGAAAAAAAATCATTTTCGTTCTTTGATATTGCACACCATACAGTTGCCATAGGATTGGCTTGTGATAGATATGCATTAATGTAACGTTTGTTCATGATGTTTTAATTCTTAACTTTAGCTGAGTATGGAGACCACAGGCATTGTCCGATCTTCGGGGCCTAATTTTTCCTTAACAATTAATCTTGGACATTGACTCTAAACGTCATTCGTCTGTCATAGGTGATTCAGAAATCATATGGGATAATAAGTCGTTCACATACGGCGAAAATATTGGTTGGTTATCCTTAAATGTCTGTACTTTTGATTGCCGGTCGAGATAAGACCAAAACATCTACAATTTTACATTTTGTATAGGCGGCAACAGATATTCTACCAGAGAATGATCTACACGATAACGAAACCTATAATGACATTATGTAGGAATTTTTCTGCTGCCTGCCCGGATGATAATATCAATCCTCATTTTGCCTCAATTTTGACATGACCACAAGTAAAATTTTAAATTTTATTTAGGTAATGGTACGATCCACCTGTAGTCAACCTGTAACAACAAGAACAAGCTTTGCTCTGGTACTATGAGGAGAAGAGTTTCTGTATAGTTTTTGAGAAATGTTTGCTTTTATGTGGTCTTAATCGCACACTTTGTAATGTTACTAATCATCTTAATAGAACAATTACGCAATAACATCCAGATTTTCTGGTTACACCTAATGTAAGCTTGGTCACATATATGCATCGATTTGTTGAGAATTCTTTAATCATTTTCAACACACAGTCTTAACATCTACCATTTTACCTATTCGCCGCGACGTATTCTTCATTTATCAAATAATAGCATATTTGTTTCAATGGGCTATGCATTCCCCGTCCAAATGACTCCTGTACTCTTGTAGTGCAATTAGAGAAGTGGCGATGCATTCGTACTTTGCACAAATGGCATTGCAAATGACCCGTCAAGGGCACCTTAAAATGAAGCAAACAGAAGTGAAAAGAGAAACTATTTCTGTATTTATAGATAAGATGTATCTTTCTTCATCCCATTTCTATGATCAATGAATGAACTAGTTTCAGTTTTACAGATTTATCTAAGGTTTTTCTAATGTAAAGATACATTTCATAATATTCCCTTTGGTGGCTTTAACAAGGGGGAGAATCACGCCGTTCGTTACCCAAACAAACAAGATGGCGGATGCAGCCGAAAAGTAAGTTGTTCCTTTTCTTCTCTGAAATTCCTGGTGTTCTAGTGTAAAGGTTCATATAATAACCTTCTCCACAATTTTCCTGGCACACAGGATTTTATTTTATGATGCTTCGTCCCGTACTTCATCTTAAATGCGCGTCACGAGATTCGAAGCGAGAGAAATTTTTCACCGGTTTGATCGTGGTAACTTACGGCTTCTTCTCTCAAATTCACTGTTTCTTTTACATAAATGTATTTTATCTGAAACCACTGACTTTAAAAGGTTGTAATCTGTTATCAAGTAAGCATCCATGCCCATTCTGGCTAGATTTACCGTTGTAATTATTAATATCATTTTCTGGAAATGATAACGTATGGCGCACAAAATAACAATGATAACGTTCAGCGCATTTTTCAACTAAGTGGATTTCCATTTGTCCAGTCAGCTGATGATGAATTTTTTGTATATAGGAAGTGATAGATATCTGAAAAAAATGTTTGTCAGGTTAGAAATAATTAATTGAACAATGCTGCACCATCGGGTATAAATATCTTTCTAGCTGGCGGCATAATAGATATTCGTTGTTAATATTCCAATTAAAACACACGTGTATAGTTTGAGAATAGTTTGCATAAAATGCAGAATGGAAAGAAAAGCCTCCACTTTCAGGAAACATTTGTGTATTGTTGTTTTCACATTAAATTTCGCCAGTGTTGTGCGATAATTATGGTATTATCCCCTTATCAGAAAGAAGAAACGCATTCAGTCGACCAAAAATATTAAAAGCTACGGACGGCTTGATATATTTTTGTTTTCCAAAGAAAAAGTCTTAAATCATTCTTAACAAATTTCTGATAAGGAAATCTTAATATTTAAACCGCGTCAAACATAAACAAAACAAAAAGAGAATGTGACTAGCTTACACCCAGATGAGATGAGCCTCTTTATTCAATCTGGTCGCTCATTGAAAGAAAAGTAATGAATGAGTGTAGGTTCTATATTGAATTTATTGAATGAGTTAGAAAATAATGTTATCCAAAAAACTTAAACTTAAATAAATTTAGTAAATAAGAAATTTCCTGTTTGTTTGACGGGCGGTTAATATTGAAACGCTACCATTTATATCATATTCCACAAACGCCCCCAACAAAACAACAATTTCAAAAAGTATTGCAGGTATCAGCAATAAAAGAGTGACATTGGAATTTGCTTATTAATTTCTAGTGGTAAACATTTTACATGCCATGAAATATAAAATTTCAAATCAGATTTGGATTTCGATGTTTTTATCCATGCCGGAAAACCCGTCTGAAACCTTTAATGTCAGACCGCTCATGCGCTCAGATGACGTCATTATCTTTATGACAGAACGATTGTAAAAATTATTACGCTACTATTAAAATAGTATTTACGAAGAATATGTTTGTGTTCATCCGTGCTGTTCTACAGAAATTAGAAACTTCGACGGGAGCGATAGCGACCAAAGAATATTTTTTATTTCTTAACAAAAGCTACTGATGAATACAAACATAGTTAGTGTCAAACTTTATTTGGCATCATTAAATTTACTTTATTTCGTCACTATACCTGTCCATTTCCACGAACGCGGTTCTATGAAGCACCATGAAAAATATAAGGATGCTATGAACGGACTAAACCGACTTTGATATATATCATCGACTTTTGTTCTTCTATGAAAATTTACACAAAGAATTTTAAGAAATACAGCCTTTTCATTGGATGACAAATACAGCTGGGAACTTAAATTGTTTATTTCAGTTTCTTTACTTGGTTCTACACATCCTCTTATGTCTGGTAAACGTAACTTTTCTATTATATAGAAAATCCATTAATCAGAAAAAAATGCGCCGTACGTTATCATTGATATTTTGTGCACCATACGTTATCATTTCCAAAAAATGCCCCGATTTAATATTTTCAGCGGTTGTTCTAGCCAGAATGGGCATGCATGCTAAGATGACGACACATTACAACTTTTTAAAGTCAGTGGTCTCAGTTGTAATACATATATGTAAACGGAACATTGACTTTTAGAGAAGAAGCCGTACGTTACCACGGTCAAACCGGTGGAAAATTATCTCGCTTCGAATCTTGAGACGCGCATTTCAGATGAAGTACGGGATAAAACATTATTAAATGAAATCATGTGTGCCAGGAAAATTGTGGAGAAGGTTATTATATGTACCTTTACATTAGAACATCAAGAATTTCAAGAAAAAAAAAGGAAAATAACCTTACTTTTTGACTGCATCCGTCATCTTGTTTGTTTGGGTAACGAACGGCGTGATTCTCCCCCGTGTTTAAACATGTCGGCGTATATGCGGGCCGGTTTCGCGTGCATATGTGCGCACTTTTTTATGCGTGTTAAAATCACCCAGTAAAGACTTACGATTGTGTTTTAAAAACAATTGTGATCTTAATTTCTTTTCTTCCCATTTAAGTTGATATCATTGCTGCTTTTTTATCATGCCTCACATAGATAAGTAGGAGAAAAGGAGAAAAGAGGGTTAACGTACCTGTTTTCGTGCATTCACATCTGCAGAAGTGCGAGAATGCATTTCAAGCTCGAGTCCGCAGGGTGAGTGTTAAAATAAGTTCGAGGGCTTTTCAAGATATAAATGCTCGCAAAAATGTACATTCTCGCTATTATTGCATAAAATAAATATGTACTATGGTAACTCTGCATTTTATTATCTATTATATTTAGTATAAGAAAAAAAAACATTTGTCGATGGTGTTGATGCCATTTGACAGTTATATATTATGATAATAAAAATAGGCTTTACTATATTTGCACTTTTAACATTGCTTCGTGAGACACGCATATAAAAAGGAACCAACAGCCGTAATATATCCAATTATTTGTGTTTTCTTCTCCGTTAATGTTTACCTGCGTGCGAAATTTTTATGCAAATGTTTTGTTTTATGCCGTGTCTGGTTGTAGTACAGGAAATCTGGAAAGATGAAAAAAAAAAGGAATTTTTCGATTTTTTCAAATAATTTTCTTTTACAACACACAGGTTTTTGAAGATCTAGGGCTTGAACAATTTTTGATGAGCATGTCCCGTCCCCAGCAATCATTCGCAACCCGGTGGTGGCCCAAAACCCCTGCGTTAACCGTATCTATATCGGAGAAAAAAGCATACAATTTAATTTGTTTAAAAAATTACCAACAATTTCACTTTGACTAGCTAAATTTACAAGAAAGGTGAAAATTCTACTCGACACAAGTATAATTACATTTTTGGGGAATTTTAAAATTTTTTATTTTAAAAAATTACTTTTTCAACTTGGAAATTTTCGTGAAGAACGATTAAATTTCAAGATTTTTTCATGAATTCCGACACTTCACGAAATTCAATTTCAACATTCACGTCTTTTGAACTTTTGAGATTTAAGCCTCGTGATTTATTATTCCAACTACATAAGAGTAACTGAGAAAATAAATTGATGATGCTTTCAAACATCAAAATTAAAACTGATACAGCTCATTGAAAGTGAAACCGATTAAATGGATGCATGTCCGCATCGTACGTATTACAACAACCATTGATTAGAATATCCCCTGTATTTGTTATTAGGCTTTTATCTACCTGTCCACAGGCTCGTTCAAAAGGCAATATAAATAAATTATTTTGTAGTAAAGAATATCATATTGTGCTTGGAGAGTGTCCTATAATGGTACCCAAACACATGTGTTGGTGCTATTTTCTTCCATGACAGTTAACTGCGGCTAGCCAGATCCTCCAACTTACATCTCTATTCCGAGAAGCAAACTGAAACTGGCACACTACAAAATTAAAAGTTCAATGTTCTACTGATATCAGTATCATACCTACCCGCAGCAAGACAAAACCAAGGATGAGGAATCAGTGTGGCGGGAACATGTACACTTCTCACACTTTTCTGGTAAAAGTAGCTCACTTCCGTCTAACATTGTTATGCCATCCTTAGGCGTGCAATGATCTCCATCTGCAATAAGCGAGGAAAGTATTTAAAAAAACATTTCCGGTACTATTGCATTAACAGCAGTGATAATAGATTGTCGTTATGTCAATACATAGGTAAGTAAGCTTGTTTCGCTAGGTTTTTACTGCTCTTCCTTTTCATATTTCTCTGCACATCACCCTGATGTAGAGAACATTCAAGCCTATCATGAAAATAATCCTTTCAGGGGTATTTGGCGAACACAAACGAAATTGTCTAATATTTGGCGTTGTTAAGGGTGACATTGGCCTTGAACTGACACAGGGGCAGCTGGCGTTCTGCACACCGTATTGAGGTGACCTCTAAGACAAGTTTGAAGAAAAACCTTTAGGGTGTATAGAATTTCTAAAGCGGACATGAACTTGCCTGATTTTTTACTTACAATGATGACATTCACCTTAAGCCGTCATAACGAAAATATGTCCACATCGTCTTGTTGAGGAAATTTTTTTTCAAGGGTAAAGAAGGTATAGAGCGCATGCAAATTTGCTATGGCTATGTTTCCAAAGGTTGACCTTGATCTTGAGCCGACACAGCGGCGGCATGGGTTCTGAACATGTGCTTGTTATGGTGAACTTTTGAGAGAAAAAAAGCTTGAAAAAAACACATTGTAGGGTTTAGGAGTTTAGATACGACACAATGAAGTCGGATAAATCGGCCTTCGGACCGACATGGCAAAATACAGACATGACCCGTCCACATTAAGTGTTCGGATTATGATGACATAGGGTTGAAGTAAAGGGCAACATTTTACAGCTTGACATCTGCTGTTATGATACTAAAATCTTCAAACTTTGTTTGGAGAGCTGGGTCGGTAATGTCATTTATCATTTTTTTGATAGAAATGCATATAAATAGCACTTACCTTCTACTTTACGGTAACAATAACCAAACGTTACATCCAAGAAGCATACAAATAAAACACCAAGAAGCACCGATCTGCATTTTTGAAGGGATCTACCAAACCTGTGACTCCAGTAGGTTTTTTGTCTTCCGTCTGATATATTGTGTTATCTGTTTGTTTGAGAGTTCTAAGGTTCTTTGGTGTAAACCTATACATAGCACCCCAAGTACAATGGCAGATTAGGTTTACAGTTTTTTTGCTTATTTTAATAATTTAGTTTCTTCTTAACATAAAAAGTTAGCCTACTAGAAGTTAAAGTTAGAGATCTATGACACATTCTCTGATAAAAAGGGAGCAAAATCAACGTCGTGACCCAGTACTACAGGACAGAAAAAGTGGTATGCGTCAACAAATTTTACAACTGCGATTGTATATTCATTTGCTTATTTTAGTTTCAAATGAAGATCATTAAATATATACTAAGTATATTTTATATCTATAATCGTGCCGTGATTCTTGTCACTTAATTTGATGTTCCAATCCAATGTCAAAGATGAAGCAAATCTTTAATACAATCAAAGCACAGACCTGTATAAAATATTTTTACTTGGGCCACATGAACAAAATATATAAATCACTATGTTCTAAGAAGAGTTGCTCTTATTAAATCGTATTTTATACCCAGCAAAAAAAATTCACAGGTGTTTAATTGGAGTAAGCACATTCGTTGGATAGTCAGTCTGTTTGCAATTGTTATCTTTTGTGACTGCTTCTCCTCCAACAGTTCATGATGGTTTTTATCGAAACTATTGTATCCTTTTTGTACTAGCATCGGTGTGTGTATGCCGAAAAAGATTTAAATTTCACTCCCTAGTACAGAAAGTATGACCTTTTGAATATTTGTTTGCAAAATCCGCGGACAAAAAACAAACTGAGTAAGATATATTTTGCATGTGTGTAACGTCACCAAAACGAGTGTAATGGCGGCAGTAGCCTAAGTGCAACAAGAAGCGAAACAGCTAAATTTGAATAAGTCAATTCATGGCTGGCGTATTATCATTGCGTTTAAAGAATTTATGAATATTTAAAGAGCAAGTAGAGATCCCTAAGGACCAGTACACGGTATTCAAAAGAGACCTTGCTCACCGAAACGAGAATGTCATGAGAACTCTCGGCATAAAGTATTAAAGTTGTTAACTTAAAACTTCATTGATGTATGGATTGCATACTTATTGTATGAATTGTCAAAAGACCATTATTTTGTTTTGCACTATTTTTGCATTATTATCCTTTGTAAACTTTAAACAGCACTTTTGTCCAGAGCATAAAATTGCAACCCCTTTGATAACCTAGTAAGCAGAAAGTAAAACTCAAACAAACTTAAATTTTGATATCTGAGTCTAGACATGATTGTTGTTCTAAGTTAAAGATAACCTACTAGTTACAATCAATTATGAAGATTTTGTCACAAGGTAAATCTATGCATTTCTTTCTTCTTTAAAGCCTGCATTATAATCCTTTCTTCCTTAGACAATTAGAATATAGTATGTGTTAAGAAATGTAAAGTTACGCAAGTGTTGACTTTAAAGAACCTAATTTAACTTTTTAGTTTCAGTATTTGTGGCAGTGACTGCTTTTTCTTATCTTGTACGGAAAACCGGTAAGTAATTATGAATGTGTGTTATCTATAATACTTGTATATCCAAATTTGGACAAACAATGAAATTAAATGTGGTGAATTTCATGTTAGCCACATGATGTCAAGGGAGGGGGGGGCGGTGACGGTCACTTACACTTTCGAGTACCGTCCATTAACACGCTCAATCAAACCGAGCCTGCAACATTTTCAATGTTCAATTTTCAAACTCTGTCGTTCTTGTTGTTTTTAAGTGATTCCTTATTTCTCTTTTAAATCACATGATCTCGAACCGTATGCTTTCCAGTTGGTATGTATTCTAGTACATGAATTTATCACGAAAAAACTTAACGATTGCATTCCTAAGTAGAGGAGTACAGTATATAACATTACCATTATAATTATGTGATATTTCTACATAGCAAAAATACAAGACTAGTTAAGCTATACTGCTATATGTTCTTAGTAAACAATTACATTATATAAGTTTTTCGTATAAAGTTGTTTTTTCTACGGAAACATTGAACTGTGACAGATGTCATTCGGTAAGGGGTGTTTTTATCATATCCAGGCCATATCACAAACATTATTTGAAATGGTACAATACTTTTATTGTTTATTTCCGCATCACCATGAGGGAAAGTCGCGCTAAGACGAAAGTCGAGAACTTGCCAGTTCGTTGTTTGTTTAACTTCATTGTAGCATATCAATATGTCCGCGGTAAGGACATATCGGCAAGCATATCGGCAAGCATATGATGTATGGAGCTAGGTCAACGTTACAAGTTCAAACACCTTAGTCTGTATAACTGAAGTATTGTGTTATATCTTATACCCCATTGTCTTCTTCTTCAACACAATAAGAGAATAATAATCACAACTAACCTTACTTATCTTGTTACAATTGTTTCAGACTGTCTGGATTGTTTTACCTGTATAAATGCAACTGCAATACCACAATGTAAAGCTACAAGAACATGTTCGTCTGGAGAGGTATACATTCTTTTTATATATTTCTATTGTTTGACACGCATTTCCTCAAATGATTGTATAATTACAGGTATTTCCTAGGAAAAGATATTGTTGGAAATCGTTGGGAGTATTAGATGTATTTGTATGATCTTCATAGCTTACAAACGACGGGCAAAGAAATTCAATTGTACTCAAAATAACTAATCGTTTTCTATATCATGCTTGAACATTTTACCACTGTTATTTTTTTCATAACATGCGGTAATTATTTTAGCAATAATGTTACGAAGCATTTAAACAACATAAATAAACAGCAATTGACTGAATAAACTTGAAAACTTGACACTTGGTCATACACGCGTATTTAGGTCAACAAACAATTACTTAAAGCATAGTTCTACATTTACTTTTAACATTATTTAATTGAATAGTTTGATAAACAAGTATTAAACAAGAATAATTTTAACAGTTTAAGAAAAGGTTATTAAATAATGCCGCCGATGTTTTTGATGATTTGTTCTAATTAAATTTTTAGAAAATTTTCATATTCGCATTTCATTTAGCTTATACATTTTGTACTTGTAGGTATGTTACGCAGAACACACTCATTCGGCAACTGGTAATGTATTTTCGTTTGGATGCAGACCAGCGAAAGTAAGTTATATCTAAACGTTTTCCCGGATTTTCCAATGATTAATATGATTAACAAATGCATATGTGGTATCTTCATATTTAATTATATAAAATGTGTAATTTAATTATTTAGATTTACAGTCCGTGCTAACAATTCCGAAAACCTTCCGTAATATCCTTGTCATTTCAACATTTTGCATATGAATATTTGTGGAACTGAATGAGTTGATATATTAAGATATACAGTTAGTCTTATTATCAGCCAAATTGTGGCAACGCCAAAATGTTTTCCCGCGATATACAATTAACCTGGTCAAAATTAGTGTGTTATAAAACTTTTTTTTGACCCGTACATATAATCAAAGATGTTATATTTTCCGACATTATTGTTGTGTAGTCATGCTTGTTGTATTTTTAGTTTCTTATACATGTATTTGGCAATTTTCAACTTGGGTGGTTCCAGTATTCCTACTTGAATACTGTATAATCACGCTTTGGATATAATGCCTGTTTTTTTTTATAATTGTCTTTTGACGTCTTATCTGTGATATGCAACCTTCACAACATCTGATCCCCTTTCAAAATTCCATTTCATAAAGTTCTGCCCATTGCATGTTTTATATTGGGACCATATGCGGCTTTCCATTGAATGGCACTAACGTGTCACATTGAAGGTTTTATGATGACCGCCGTATGAAAACATCTGCGGATGCCACTAAGTTCAAAATGTTACCATTTCCGTGATTAAATGTTGAATTCTGTTTAAGCCGGTACCAGGGACGTGGACGGTATGCCATTTTCATTGACGTTCATGACCAGGCTCAATCAAACCGAGTCTGCACCAATTTGCAATTTTGCCGTGTTGGGCAATCTTGTTTATCTTTTTTATTGTTCTTACGATCGAAAAACAATATACACCAACCTATGTTTTAAGAAATAATTGTTCAAGAGAATGAATGAATCTACATTTTCAAAACATTATACCATTTCTGACATTGTTTGGATTCGGATTTTCATGATAAATGCTTATATTCTCTAATATGACATGCAAATGAGCAGGTGTAAAGTGTTGTGGGCAGAGGTTAAAGTTGTACCAAATTTTATTTCTGTTTTGTTAGATTTTTCGGGGTGATTGATTCTGATGCCTAATTATGTTGAAAACTGAGTACTGCTTAAGCTTCTGCTAGGGAGTGTGATGAATCTATCTTTCATAATGTTAAAACGTGTATATAAAGAGACAAAACACTGTTTACTAATAACAAGAGACTATATGTTGATCACTTTAAAACATAAATAAAATGACCGAATGTCCATAATCTGCTTCACCTGTTAATGAAGGGTCAAACTGTTCCAATATGATAGAAACCGTTCAAATTATAAAGTGTCAGTCTTTCTATTTATTTTATATGTGGAAGTCAATACAATAAATTTAAATATATATATATAGTAATGTAAAGTTAACTTTGAATATTTCAAATTAAACTGACACATTCCGTGGTAACAACTGATAATGCAGATTAATTTTGGTACATTTAGATGTGTTCAAATTTGATGACAACACCAACCGCAATTACGGGGTCACTAGTGGGTCGGTCTTCTCCTACGGACTCAACTTGCACGGAGTGTTGCATGGACCAAAACTGTAACAGACAGCTGTGTCAGAACTCCTGTATGTGATATTTCACGTATCAAAATACATTTGTATGTCAAATAAATGATGGTGAATTTGTTTAAGTTTAAATAAAAAGAGGGTTGTTAAAAAGAAATATTTCAGTATTTGATTTGAAAGCACGCATCCAGTAGTTCACAGAAATTTTTCCGTTGTACTCAAATTTATATATATTTCAAAAGCTCTCTTCAAATACAAAAGATAAGTAAAAGGAATAAAAATATCGTTTTAAAACGTGCAAATTTTGACATTATTTCATAATCTAGATCCGCACTGTAAAGACAGCCCAAAGGCCAATTGTGCAGTGGTTGGAGCTATGTTAAATATATGTTTGGATACACAGCATGCAAAAATTTCCTGTCGCAGATTTTGTGGATTGTGTAATTATTGTACGTCATCTTATTTTTTTTACTTTTTATCTTCATATTTCTTTATAGTTTGCCTATAAGTAATTTGTATTTTTAATTAATAACCTTTTTGTATCTACTACTTGTTAAAAATTTTCGTCCGACATTTTATCAAATAGATAAGAAGCATTTGTATCTATCATAAAGATTGCTAGGGCGGATGGTGGGATGGACGATAAGGACTCAAAAATACCATCTTTTGCTATGACTGTTATAATTATTCTTGTCCATCGACTACTAGTATCTTATAGTTTGATAAAATGCTGAGATATAAACATGAATAATAATTACTAAACTCTTCACTGTTTGAATATTTGTTTATGGCCAACATCGCTTACGCAAGCCAAGAGGCAAAGTTTTGTAAAAGAATGCGTTAAAATATGTCCTTTTATACTACCAAACTGTTTTGATGCATCATTCACGTATTACTTTGAAACTTAGGTAAAGCTTACTTTATCTTTAAAACATAATTAATGTTTTACTGCACCTGGCATTAATACAAAATGTATTATGTCTGACCTTTTAAAATAGCTATGAAAAGCATTGTGTATTTCCTAATTATGAAATGCTTTTAAGCGTTGATTCATATTCAAATAACCTATGGTATCGTTAGTTATGGGGCACGAGTAAATCTGAGACTCCTGGATTACAAGCCCAGCACTTAACTGCTGGACAACGTACCAGCTCCTATGTTTTTGACTTTTGTTATTGTTAGCAGGCCTTTCAAAAGTAAACGTTCGCGGTCCAACAAAATTAAAAGTGACAGCCTGAGCGAGTACTTTTTCAGACCGCTAAAATTCAATTGTGTGTTACCACTAACCACGAATGATATTTTACTCAGCATGCAATATTGAAATGCTATTGGTTAAGTAATTCATACTTTTCATTCCATGTTAGTTTTATATTTATTTTTCAGTCCGCTCAAGGGCTGTTGGTTGCCTTATCGGAAAGGAGGCCCTCATTGATCTGTTGCTATTTTAGACACCCATAATTATTATTAATTTCCTAAACAGATGTTTGGATGAATATATATGTGATTATAAAAATGTCATTCAGTGATACATTGAAGTGTCATTTATTATCAGCCGCCCGTCATGTTTAACACAAAAATTCAACAAAAAAGAAGAGTAGAGTAATAAAACAACATTATTATAATCACTTTATATTAAAACAGACGACGGCTCTTGGGCAAGTTGGATGGCATGGTCAAAGTGTGACGTTACATGTGGAAAGGGAGTCCAATCACGTTCAAGGACTTGCACAGAGCCATCTCCGTCAGGTGGTGGGTTAGATTGTGTTGGTAATTTACACAACACTAAATCTTGTGAACTATCGCCATGCCCTGGTAATTATAACTCCAGATAAACAAAGATCTTGTTTGACAAAACATGCTTTGCGCATACCTTTCTTTAATATAATTTAAGCTAATAATCTACATGTATTTACATTTCTAAGACTTGTAAATTCCTCAAACAGTCGATAAAAATCTTGAAATAAAGTGATCCCTCCGAAGCATTAATCACAACAAAATTACATAATAATTGCAGACTCGGTTTGATTGAGTGTGACCTAAGGGATAACGAATAAAGTTCATTTTTCTATTTATATAATTTGCTGAAGACCTTTATGCTGCCAATTGCTTTCCTTGATTAGAATGAATAAATGGATATGCTTTCCTTGATAAGAAAGAATATTGAGTAATAAATTTGCAGCATCCGTGTTTTAAGAAATTATAAAAGTGTCGAAAGTCCAATTACTACTGGTGTTACAAATATTTAGTTAAATGTATTACAGTGACGATTATGTATTAAATGCAATGTGGTTGCGTCGTTGTTAAGATTAAACAGTGATCAGGGGATTATATTTATTTGCGTTATTATTTTACTAAGTTCACGGCGGATGGTCTGGTTGGGCCTCTTGGGGTAGCTGTAGTGTAACCTGTGGAATCGGAATGCAACGAAGAGACAGATCGTGCTCTAATCCTTATCCGAGTAGATGTGGAAATCATTGCTTTGGAGAATCAAGAGATGACAGGATTTGTTTAACTAAAGCTTGCCAAGGTCAGTAGTGTCATCAATACTTTTTATGGTCATTAACATAATTTTGTTTTACAATTATTCTACATTGTATATCACTTTTAACATTGACGTCGCTATTGAATTTTTGAAGTAGACATTTTTTTATTCAAAACATGGTTTTATGTCAGGAAAAGCTCGTATGGCTTGCACTTATAGTTATAAAAAAAGTTGCAAAAGTCTATCGAGTACAGTAATATCAAAAGTTGTACATATGTCTATAGTGCATTGTGACTGTGATAAACGAAACCGCATGATTAGTTTTACAAATGATCATTAACAACTTACACATTTGCTTATCTTAGTCAAATGAGTCATTAAGATCAGAATGTTCTGTCAGTTACAATTGTGAAAAAAGATGACATTTCCGACTGCATTTTCAAAATGGAAAAACACATTTAATGTATAACAATTTTAAAATCGATTACACAGACGGTGGGTGGTCATCGTGGAATGTTTGGACCAGGTGTAGTGCAACATGTGGCGAGGGAATAAAAACCCGAACGCGGCTCTGTGACAATCCTTTGCCATCATTACTCGGGCAATACTGTGTGGGGGAACCATTTGAAGTGAGCTTATGTAACGATAAACATTGCCAAGGTAATCTTGGATACATGTTTATTTATTTTGTAGTTTCTACACGGATAGAAATGATGTTGCAAGCCATGATCACATTTATCCATTAATTATAAGCGGACATTCTAATTTGCAACTTGAAACACGGTGTACTAAAATGATAATCGGCCAAACAATATATACGTAATAACAGTAAGGCAAATATTTTCTTAATGATTTATTATCGTATTTTACATTCATTAGATCCGTTTAACAAATAATTATATTTATGTTATCTAAGTAATAAAAGAGTTTTAATCCCTGTTGAACAAATGACGCCGTAAATGAGTTTTAATCGCCATTTTAAATTCTCATAGTAACTCTGAAATTGATGTTTTTTTCTACTTAACAAAGTATCGCATCTATTTAAGTTACAAATGGTGCCTGGGGGCAGTGGACATATTGGTCAACGTGCACTCTAAATTGTAAATTAGGAATACAATCTCGACACAGGAATTGTAATAATCCGGAACCTTCTATTGGAGGAAACATGTGCACTGGCAGCTCATTTGAAATAGCACAATGTGACGGGAAGACGTCCTGTGAAAGTACGAAGCGTATCATTCCAATTTAATGTACATTATCAGTCTTAAGAAAAAGTGAGTATCTGAAAAACAATAGCTTTATGTAAGGTTTTTTTTCTTTTCTTTTTTCTTCAGAAAGAATGAATAATATTTTGGAAAGAAACTAAGAAATTGTAATATAAAAACATCATGATTATTCACATTACATTCGACAACAACAATACATAAATAGTGAAATATACATGTATCCAATCAAATCTCAATTTTAATGTGACACTTGACCTTACAATGAGTGATACATAAAACTTTTTCTTTGTATATTCTTATTTAAAAATAGTATTTATCACTTTTTTATTGTAAATTCTTCTTTTCCAGTTATGGATGGTACCTGGAGTATATGGTCGTCATGGAATTATTGCCACCCAACTGGACCGAGCTATGAAAAGGATCGATATCGAATTTGCGAAAATGGGACTGTGTGCTTTGGAAAAAGTAGAGAGTATAGAGTTTGTGGTTAATGAATAATAATTCACTACTGTCTTAAACTACATAATTATTCAGTTTCATTCGTGAATTTTTGAATTTATAGATTGAGAGAAATAACACATCGGTCTTTGACGAAACGATACATGAGATAATAAATCAAACATTGATGACAATCGCGATTATATGAATGCTTTCGATTCCAGGCATTTAGGTATCTTCTTTTTCCAAACAACAACAACTGGTTGCGCTTAATGCTTTGAAATGTGAGTTATTTAAAAAAGCTCAACAAAACATGAATTTTTGACCTACTGACGCCATGTTGTTTTATTGTCCCGCGGATTTCCTTCTCTCTTCTTCCAGACGCTTGTTTTAACAAGTGATTGTAAATAAGCGTCTAGATGACTAAGAACCTGAGAACAACAAGGTCATGGTCAGCTAGGTGGGAACCAACTTAAAACAGGGAACCAGAATACAAGATTAAACAATTTTATTTCGTTTGTGATGAAGAATTAAGCCGTCGAGAATGTGCCACACATTATGCACATCAGAGAAAGTATTTATGCTGAGCTTATTTTATTTTGTATTTTTGAAAAGATTATATTTCTAGATTTAATTTTGTTTTATTTCAATAAGAAGACACTGATCAGTATAACACATCAGTATTGAGGCTAGGAACTAATAACTACTAACGTCTGTTTTAGCTGCTAATCCTTTTAAAAAATGGATAGTTTCAGCGTAGTTTATCTTTTTTATATATACAGAGGAAACGTAATTTATGAACATTAATATAAGGTGTTTTCATAAACGAAAGAAATGTTATTTTAATGCAAATCTTCTTTCTAAGAGCACCAAGCAAATACATACACGCTTTGGGGCTTTGTTTTGTTTCGTCTTACGCCGCACCAACACAATTTTGGTCATATGGCACTGAAACATAAAAAATGAAATTGGAAAGCCTCGGATGTTGCAACGACGGGATAAACAGTGGATGCTAGTCTGGAGCCTCAACCTTTCAAGGCAACCCCTCAGCTTTTGGGCGAATGGTGAGTAGGAACAGCTCGTTATCATTTAATAACCTACCCGCAGCATGACAAAAACAAAGACGATGAATCATATTGGCGGGAACATGTCCACTTTTCACACTTTTCCGGTATGAGGAGCTCATTTCCGACCATCCATAGGCGTGTAATTATCTCCATCTACATTTGAACAGTGCTTCATTACGACTAGCATTATTTCCGGTGTCAAGTCATAATCGTGTGATCCTTTTTAGAATCTCGACACTATTGTTTGGGAACTCTAGATGAATGGTGAAATTAGACTGTTTTCTATCGATAAAGATTTTTTTTTTTAAATTAATCTCGACTTTTAATGTAGAAAGACTGTTTACGGTCATTTATGATACACTTTGTGATATTCTTTGATATCTTTTCCCTGCTAAGAAATAACAGCGATAATATAGTATATATCTAATGTAAACAACCCGAAGCAGCACAATAATTTACGTTTGTTCATAGTTTTCTCATTTCTTTTTTTAAAGATAGCTGGCTTTGTAATCCAGAGGTCGCTGAGACGTGACCAATAATTTGTTCTTGACCATTGATTTCGGACATCGTCTATTAATGTCATTTGTCTCTTACCTTTTTACTGTCATTTCTTTAGTTTTCATTCTTGTCTTCAGTAAAGGATGAGAAGAAGAAAAGCGTTGTATGATGGTTTGTTTGTTGCTGTTGTTGTTGTTTTACTTCTATATCTGTCGCGCATATAAATTAACATTGCCATTATGTAGACACGTTATCTTTAAACTCTTGAATACTTAATGCAAAGTCAAAACACTGCATTGTAAATAAACAATTAAATTTATTTATTTTTATCATTTAATAACAGAAAATTGATGTCTTTAGATTAAACAGTAGAATAGAGTTTTTACAGTCTAAATTCTTATCAACATGTTAACATATTTTTAACAAATTCATTGCAAAAAAGACAGGCATGATTTATAACAGTTTGTTCGTTTTGATATAACAATCTTTCATCATCATTAGTTCTTGAATGTTGTCCTTAAGAAAATAAAGGATTCGTGAAATATCCGGCGTTTCCTTGGTTACGCTGTCTGGTCCCATTTGGTGGTCTCGGAACTGAAAATCTTTTAGTCAATATTTCCCTTGCTTCACGGTCAACTACAAGTTTCTTTCGAGCTCTGTAAAAGTTAAATATTGCATGTTTATAAATATTATACTTTAACTATTATATACGGTGGCACAGAGGTGACATGTGTGTGTGTGTGTGTGTGTGTGTGTGTGCGTGCGTGCGTGTGTGCGTGCGTGCGTGCGTGCGTGCGTGTGTGTGTGTGTTTTTTATTTACACCACATGTCACCTGTGCCACCGTAATAATAACCCTTTTTCTGGCATTTGAATAGTTAATAATTTTAGCTTACAAACAAAATGTTACACTTAAAACTTGTCCAAACCGTACACTCATATTGTTATCATTTTCTTAGAGTCATATCTGAAAACAGATTTAAAGTAAATTGAGGCATAATGGATGGTCTGTTATCTCATTAATAATATTTATGTTGAAAGTATCTCATATCATGTATGACAACAAACCGTGAAAGAATCATATATGTACATTTGTATGATGAACATTTTCCGATATTTCATATCCGTTCATAACAGATTATGAGTTTTATTCTAGAGCAAAATATTATTATTGACCATTTCATTTTTATACGAAAAAGAAGAAGAAATATTTTAATAGAAGTATTTTTGTTCAGTATAATGTGCTAATCGTAGACCAATTCACTTTAAAACATACTAGAAGTCTATATACGCGTATTTAACGCATACAATTTCAAGAAGAAAAGAAAGAAAAGAAGATGAAACAAAACACTGGTATTCATCATATGCTGTCTGTAGAATTCATGTATTATCTGAAATATGCATCTACTATCTTTAAAAATCAAGGTACATGAGATGTCTCTGAATATATATAATTATATTTTGGTTCCCTTCGATCGATGTTAAAAATATCCTAGAAAACTTACCGCTGAACAATGTAAAAAGCCTGTAGTGTCCCACCTACTGCACCCACCAGACCTATAACAATCCCTACAAGAATGATCCAGTGCGACTCTAACCAACTCTAAAAATAGCAAGTGTAACATTTGTAATTTTTCCACTTGATAGAATCATGACTGAAAATACTGATTACAAATTAATCACAATAAAACTCCCCCTAACGCCTAACTCTGTGCAACAGTCGTCTCCTAACAACAGCCAGTTTTTAATCGCCTGACATTTTTACTCTATAATTATACTCTCTCCAACTGTCACCTTTCAACTCTGGTCAACAGCCACTTATTCCGGCTGCTGGCTGTTGTAGGGTGGCTGCAATGTACGTATTTATACTGATATTGTTTTTCGTAATATAGTAAGAAGAATGTCAAAGTTCGTTCAAAGTCAACCATGTCAAACGCGATAAGGATTTAGATAAATGTTAAAAATCTTATAAATTAATATGAAATATAGTCAATAAGTAATGCCAAACACATTAGATCTATCTTATTACCGACACATATGGTCTAATAAATCCTAACTTCGCAATGCTTATTTCACGTAATTCCAATACCTGTTTTACATGCTGTTTTGCATCATGCGGATGATTAAGGAATATTTCCGTGTGTTGCCCGATAGCTCTAGCCATTTCATCCCGTGTCAAAGGTCTTCCATCACAAATTGCACTGATTGCAACAGAGCCTCTGAGGAAGATAAAACCGAGAAAATTTAAAAAAACAACCCTCTGAATTTCTTTATTCTATCTATGTCTATTCATCCAAATATTGAAAATCTCCCCCTTTTCTCGTTAAACCCCGACATAAATTGACATACACTAACTATATTCTTGTTTCATATGATAATGATTTACATCGAGTTTAAATTTATGATAAAAACGTAATGATGTAAGAAAAAACAAATGAAAACATATGTACTGCTGATTGGTTCATGATGTCAAATCGTCAAAGAATCGTAGAAAAAGAACTGAACATCGCGTAAGGATTTTCCAATTATTACATAATGTTGGGCATATGGCCCCGATACTTAAAGGATATGATAATTCTTAATACTGACCTGTACAACTGTGTACAAGTAAGTATAAAGTTATGTTGTTAACATTTCATGTTTTGAAAATGCCCATACAAATAATTGCTTTTCTGTTTGGTTTTTTTGTGTGATATTTTTGTCTTGCTTTAAATCGGAATTTTATTTACAGGTTTGTATTATTCTACCTCTTAACCTACTTGGCTACTTAAATGGGTCCAACCTCCCTTATGGACCTGTCATTTTTCTAGTTTCAATTTTAAGAATTTGTTATTTTTCATTTTATTTCAATTTATTGTTTTTATCTTAATACATGTTCAATTTTTCAAGTCGGCCAAATGTAAAGTCTGGAAAGAGCTTGGCAGATGTATAATGTTTTGATGACAAATGCTTAATATGTTCGATTCCAGCATGTTAAAGGTTGAATTATTAGAATAATAAGATTGATCAATAATCAGTTAAACAGTCCGATCAGATTATACGGGTTTCTATGCAGACTGGACTGGTTTTAGATATAGAGTTGTTTGGTTTTGTGTAAGATCGGAATATATTTCACTGAGTGAGCACCAAAAGGTATATTTCACGAGTGGCACGGCCACTTTTTGGTGTTCAAGAGGTGAAATACATTTCGATCTTACACTAAAGTAAACAAATTTTCTTTTTATTACACGAAAATAAACGTTTAAAAAGACATTTCTATCTAATACTAAATGAAAATCGCGCCAAATAATAATACATCGTGCCGTCATTTACGACGTTAAGTTACGTCATTAAATTGGCACGCTGGTATTTCACTGAAACAACGTAACGGGCTTTAATCCAAAACAGTGGAACATATCAAAATGATAATTTCACTGTTTCAAACAGTCAAATATAAGTTTTATGTTTCACTGATATATTTCAATAAACCACTGAAATGCATGTAATAAAAGCCATTGTCTCCACTGCCTGTTTAACAAATATACTAAATTCACAGAATTGTGAACTCACATCGGAATAAGAATAGCAAGTATAGACGACTTTCAGCTAATTTCTGAGTATATTCCTTAGTATCTTTTACATATCTTTTTGTTTTAAAAGCCCAAGCTAATGTATGTAAAACAAGAGGGCCAAGATGGCCCTAGATCGCTCACCTGACCAATCGAACTCATCCGAGCAATTGCCTAGACAAGCATTCTGACCAAGTTTCATGACAGGTGGGTCAAAAATGAGACCACTAGAGTGTTAACAATGATTTTCCATATTTGAGCAGTGTGACCTAGTTTTGACCCCAGGTGACCCATATTCGAACTTTACCTAGAAATCATCAAAACAAACTTTCAGACCAATTTCCAGGATATTTGGATCAAAACAGTAGCCACTAGAGTTTTAACATGATTTTTCTATTTTTAGCTTCTGTGACCTAGCTTCTCATCCGAGATGACCCATGTTCGAACTCTTTCGAGCTATTAACTAAACAATTATCCTGACAAAGTTTGATGAGGATTGAGGCAAACATGTGACCGCTAGAGTGTTAACGAACAAGTGTGGACGGACGACAGACGACGAACGACGGACATTCAACGATCCTTAAATCTCACACTGAGCTAGCTAAGATGAGCTAAAAATCAAATTTTATGTTTTTAGGCGTTAGGACCTAAATGGTGTAATTTAAAACATATCAATGTGTATGTACACTGTATATAAAATTACAACCTACAGACACTTACTTTTTAAGTGATTTGGACAAATATGTAATATTCAATACAATATATACATAAACAGAGATTTGTAAGCTTTTTTATATAAGCAAGCAAACTTGTTTAACCGATCAATTCTATGATTAAATGAGATTTCCTTTGCTTAAAAAAACAACAAATTATAAAATATATCTTTATATTCGTATCTTATTTCTGTTTGATAATCAAACTCAAACTTTCTTTTTTGTATGTTAAATAATATTTTGCATTCTATTTAATAAATAATATATGTTATTTTGGTTTTGGGGTCATATATGTGGATATATTACCTGTTAAGATTTTATATCACCCGAGCCGTTAGGCGAGGGTGATATTTTATCTTGGCAGGTAATATATCCACATATATCACTCCAAAACCAAAATAATAATTTTATTACCCTTCCCCTGCCGAGTTTGGACGATTTTTTAAAAAATCATTGCTGTTTCAATTGAAACGTCGAAATAAGATTCCCTTTAGGATACATCTTCGTCACAACATGACGTCACATAAATACATGACGTATTTTTCCCGTACCTTACGAAAGTAAACAAGAGAAAATGAGTAGTCTATTGAACGCACTTTTTGTAATTAATATCAAGCTTTCACAAGGTCATAATTGTTTTCGATACTGATGGTTATATGTATCATTACTCTACTTTGGTAAATATATATCATTTGACAGTTAAAAAGTGCTTTTAAATCGGAATTTACACCGCGTATAATCGAACCGTACGCGCATCACCTCAGCGCATGTTGTTTACAACGTTGGGTACAAAACGGGGAAATTTAGTGTGTATATTACCCGTCTGGCTCGGTTATATCAATTTCTTTCGGGTGATCAATATCCAATCGAAAAGGCGGAAAAAATCTGGAAGAGTAATAAAAATCTATTTGTTTAACTTCAGTTTTTTCATTACTCACTTATACCGTGTCTGGTCAATAGAAACCTGCGCGTCATCACAAATAACTATACTTTGCCTCAGTATAGAAATAACGTTTTGTACTATATTGTCCGTGTTAACGTTAGCAAAACCTTCCATGTAATTTCTTGTTTCCAGCTGGTATAAATCTGTAAATAAGAAATAAACATGTATAGAAAATTTAAAACTCTTGCATTCAGAAATACAAACGCCAGAAATTCGATCATTTACGTAAAATATTAGCGCAATGTAACCTATATCAGCTCAGTTTTAAAGTCAGCTCGATGTAAGTTCAATATCAGCTCGGTGTTAGCTTAATATCAGCTCGGTGTTAGTTTTATATCAGCTCTGGGTTACTTAAATATCAGCTAAGTGGTAAGTTAAATATCAGCTCGGTGTTATTTAAATATCAGCTCGGTGTTATTTTAATATCAGCAGTTAGGTGTTGGTTAAATATCAGCAGCTCAGTGTAAGTTTAATATCAGCTTACTTAAATATCAGCTAAGTGGTAAGTTAAATATCAGCTCGGTGTTATTTAAATATCAGCTCGGTGTTATTTTAATATCAGCAGTTAGGTGTTGGTTAAATATCAGCAGTTCAGTGTAAGTTTAATATCAGCTCAATGCAAGCTAAATATCAATTCGGTATTATTTCAATATCTGCTCGGTTTTAGTTTAATATCAGCTCTGTGTAAGTTTGAAATGTCAGGGCAAAGTTAGTTTCATTGTTATTCAAGAGCGAATCTAAAATCCGTGTTAAATGTCAGCTTAGTGTTAGATCAATGTAAGCAAAGTTTAATGTGTATGTTTAATATTAGCTAAGATTCAATATGATGTCCGCCAAAAATCTATATCTAAGTTAATCCAGTCTGGATAAAGTAAATGTCTGGCCAGTGCAACGTTAATGTCTGATCAATATAAGTTTAATCTATGGTCAGTGAAAGGTTAATGTCTGGCCGGTGCAAGGTTAATTTTTAGCCAGAGAAAGATGAATGTTTGGCTAGTGTAAGGTTAATGTCTGATCAGTGTAAGTTTCATCTCTGGTCAGTCTAAGGTAAATGTCTGGCCAGTGCAGAGTTAATGTCTGATCAGTGCAAGTTTAATCCCTAGTTAGTGTAAGGTAAATGTCTGGCCGGTGCAAGGTTAATGTCTGATCAGTGTAAGTTTAATCCCTAGTTAGTGTAAGGTAAATGTCTGGCCGGTGCAAGGTTAATGTCTGATCAGTGTAAGTTTAATCCCTAGTTAGTGTAAGGTAAATGTCTGGCCGGTGCAAGGTTTAATGTCTGATCAGTGTAAGTTGAATCTCTAGTTAGTGTAAGATAAATTGTCTGGCCCGTGCAAGGTTAATTTCTAGCCAGTAAAAGATTGTTTGCCCAGTGCAAGGTTAAAGTCTGATCAGTGGCGGTTTAATGTATTGTCAGTGTAAGGTAAATATCTTGCCGGTGAAAGGTTAATGTCTGATCAGTGTAAGTTTAATCTCTGTCATTGTAAGATAAATGTCTGGCCGGTGCAAGGTTAATTTCTAGCCAGTGTAAGATTAATGTCTGGCAAGTGTAAGTATAATGTCCGTCCATTCAAGGTTAATGTTTGGTTATTATGTAATATTAATGGCGAAACGATACATGTGATAATTTTGTAACTTATGATATAAACTGAATAATTTAACCTGCTCTAAAAACGGCGTGATATATGATTAGTAAGTTTAAGAATGTTAAAAAGAACTATGGTAAACTTATTATATTTGATTTATTGCTATACACTTATGCTTTAAAAATGTCCAAGAAAATGAAAAGGCGTTAAATCTATGAACAAACGGCCTTCTCAAAAAGGCTCATCTGTTGTTTAAAAAAAGGTGCAAAACAAGATCAATACAGGGTGACATTCAATGTACGCATACCCCAACACAGAACCACAAAAATGAGCCCAGCAGGACAGCAAACAGACCACATGGGCAAACCACGGACAGGATCTCATTATTAATTATTCAAAATTGGATTTAGTTAGAACACATAGTAATGCCTACCATAAGAGTGCGTCTGCGTCTGTGATACGATAACGTTATGCCCCGGTCACATATTCACGGATAATGCCACGGAAGAGCTACGGTCTAATTGTTCACGGATTACTACGGAAATGTGAAATTCCGTAGTCCGCTACGGTTCCAGTACGGACACACAACGGTATGAGAACGGAGTCCGACGGATTTTCCACCAAAAGCCCCGGAGAGACACGGACTGTTACGGACTGACACGGTTTGATACGGAGCGACACGAATCAGGACGGACACACTACGATACACTACGGTCTGCTACGGTATAAGCACGGGTTAGTACGAATAAGTACGGTCTGATACGGAGAAGAACGAATTGATACGGAGAAGAACGAATTGCCACGGATCTATATGGACCTAATACATCCGTTCACAACTTCTTGCATGCTCATTTTCAAAATGCCTCGCAAGAAAAGAACACCTAGAAAATGAATTGCAGAGTTCAATGATTTTGGCGGAGAGGATTCGACCTAACCGCGTCCGACCCCCGAGACATATCAGGTCCGATTAAAGGACGCTGGATCCTCAACAAGTTCGGCCATGAGAGCCTCATACTAAACATGAAGGAGTCTTCGTAAAAGCCCATCTCTAATCCATCAGCTCGTCTGTCTTCTCTTACCTGATTAGATATGGACTAGTAAGCATTAATGAAAAATGTGGATCAATACTGCTTCTCTTTTAATTTTAAAATTTGCTGTTCATTTTACAATTACATTAATTATCGTGAATGTTTATGTTTTAAAAATATGTAAAAAGCTTGTTAATTAATCTTATTATCACTCAAGGGCCAGCGTCCGAGGCTTATGAGACACTTCGTTTTATGTACATATTTACTCCAATTTCACGATCCAATGTTTGTAAAATATGTAACATTAAATGTTATTCTATTACTTATGAATTGTAGTACGATATTAATATATTTTTACCTCTATGCATGTCATCAAGCAGCTCGACCACTGCCTCCGCATTCTGAGCCATTTCAATATAAAGTTGCAGCCAGTAAATGGCAATTATCATTTATTGAATGTTCCCGCAAATATGTCTGTTTTTAACAAGAAGGTAGTATTTATACCCTTGAAAAAGTACATGATACTTAATTCATCCGTACTAAACAGTGGTGGACCGTACCATTCCGTACCGTTTCGTGTTGCAACGCAATAAACCGTATAAGACCGTGCTAATCCCTGCCTCTCCGTAGTACAACGTATTACGATCGTGGTTTTCCGTGACAATGTCGTATAAATCCGTATTAAAACCATAGCTTATACGTCCCTAACCGTACAAATACGTAGTTCTCCGTACTAAACCGTGGAAATCCTTGACAAGTTGGTGGACTACGAATCAGTACGGACTAGTACGGTTTTCGTACGGACCAGTACGTATCAGTACGGTTTAATACGGACTAGCAGGGATACGCTACGGTTGATTTTTCCGTAGCAAATTTTTGTGCATGTTCAAAAATTGTTAAGGATCGCTACGGCTATACAAGGACTACTACGATTGATTACGGATACAATACGGAGAGCTACTGACCAGTACGGGTAGCTACTGACGATGCCGGAATTAATCCGTGGCTCTTCCGTGGGCGTATTCCGTGAATATGTGACCGGGGTATTAGGCATGGATTCCAGGGACATCCACATCGCATATTCAGCAATGATATATCGAAATGTATACTTAGATGCATAACAAAATTAATCTTACCATCACAATGGTATCCTCCATGTTTATTTCTACAGATCTTATCTTTTGTGCAAGTTGATTCATTCTCACATTCATTTATATCATACTCGCAATGATTCCCAGTAAAAAGCTCGTTGCATTCACATATATATCCCCCAGGGTTTGATCCCATTGTTTTGCACTTTCCATTATTCAAGCATGGACCGGAAGCACACACATCTCGTACGTCACAGCGTTCTCCTGTTATTCCTTCCCTACACAAACAAATATAACCTCCATATTTGTCAAAACAAGTGGATTTGTTTCTGCAAGGGTCTGATTGGCAACTGCTTGTACGTTGCTCACAATTTGGTCCTGTAAATCCATCTCTACATAAACATGAGTAGCTTCCTTCAATATCTTGACATGTTGAATTATTGTTGCACGGGTAACTGGAGCAGAAAGTAATAGTTTCACAAGTCGTTCCAGTATATCCAGGTGTACAAACGCAGTGAAAATTATTTTGTTCCTCAATGCATATTGCATTATTCTTACAAGGTTTAAAAGAGCAGTGATTAATTTCACTTTCACAATTTGTGCCAGTATATCCCTGTTGACAGATACATTTATAGTTTGCTTGTTCCTCAATGCATGTGGCATTGTTCTGACATGAAGTGCTTGTACAATAACTGAAATCCGTCTCACAATTTATACCATTGTATCCCGGTGTACAGAGGCATTTATAGTTTGTCTGTTCCTCAAAACAAGTAGAGTTGTTCTGGCATGTATTATTTGTACAATAATTGATATCTACCTCACAATTTAGCCCGGTATATCCCGGTTGACAGATACATGTATAGTTTGTTAGTTCCTCAATGCAGGTTGCATTGTTCTGACATGTATTATTTGTACAAGAATTGATATCTACCTCACAACTTAATCCAGTATATCCCGGTTGACAGATACATGTATAGTTTGTTTCTTCCTCAATGCAGGTTGCATTGTTCTGACATGTATTATTTATACAATAATTGATATCTACCTCACAACTTAATCCAGTATATCCAGGTTGACAGATACACGTATAGTTTGTTTGTTCCTCAATGCAGGTTGCATTGTTCAGACATGTATTATTTGTACAATAATTGATATCTACCTCACAACTTAATCCAGAATATCCCGGTTGACAGATACATGTATAATTTGTTTCTTCTTCAATGCAGGTTAAATTGTTCTGACATGTATTATTTGTACAATAATTGATATCTACCTCACAATTTAGTCCGGTATATCCCGTTTGACAGATACATGTATAGTTTGTTTGTTCCTCAATGCAGGTTGCATTGTTCAGGCATGTATTATTAGTACAGTAATTGATATCTATCTCACAATTACATCCAGTATATCCCGGTTGACAGATACATGTATAGTTTGTTTGTTCCTCAATGCAGATTGCATTGTTCAGGCATGTATTATTTGTACAATAATTGATATCTACCTCACAATTAAGTCCAGTATATCCCGGTTGACAGATACATGTATAGTTTGTTTGTTCCTCAATGCAGGTTGCATTGTTCAGACATGTATTATTAGTACAATAATTGATATCTACCTCACAATTTAATCCAGAATATCCCGGTGACAGATACATGTATAGTTTGTTTGTTCTCAATGCAGGTTGCATTATTCAGGCATGTATTATTTGCACAATAATTGATATCTATCTCACAATTACGTCCAGTATATCCCGGTTGACAGATACATGTATATAGTTTGTTTGTTCCTCAATACAGGTGGCATTGTTCAGGTATGTATTATTAGTACAATAATTGATATCTATCTCACAAATAAGTCCAGAATATCCCGATTGACAGATGCATGTATAGTTTGTTTGTTCCTCAATGCAGGTGGCATTGTTCAGGCATGTATAATTAGTACAATAATTGATATCTACTCCACAAATTAACACAATTAATCTCACAATTAGTCCAGTATATCCCTGTTTACATATACATGAATAGTTTGTTTGTTCCTCAATGCAGTTTGCATTGTTCTGACATGTATTACTAGTACAATAATCGATATCTATTTCACAATTAAGTCCAGTATATCCCGGTTGACAGATACATGTATAGTTTGTTTGTTCCTCAATACAGGTTGCGTTGTTCTGACATGTATTATTAGTACAATAATTCATATCTACCTCACAATTTAATCCGGAATATCCCGGTTGACAGATACATGTATAGTTTTTTTGTTCCTCAATGCAGCTTGCATTGTTCTGACATGTATTATTTGTACAATACTTGATATCTACCTCACAATTTAATCCGGTATATCCCGGTTGACAGATACATGTATAGTTTGTTTGTTCCTCAATGCAGGTGGCGTTGTGGAAACATGTATTATTTGTACAATAATTGATATCTACCTCACAATTACGTCCAGTATATCCCGTTTTGACAGATACATGTATAGTTTGTTTGTTCCTCAATGCAGGTTACATGATTCTGACATGTATTATTTGTACAAAACCTGATATCTATCTCACAATTTAGTCCGGTATATCCCGGTTGACAGATACATGTATAGTTTGTTTGTTCCTCAATGCAGGTGGCATTGTTCAGGCATGTGTTATTAGTACAATAATTGGTATCAACCTCACAATTACGTCCAGTATATCCCGGTTGACAGATACATGTATAGGTTGTTTGTTCCTCAATGCAGGTTGCATTGTTCAGGCATGTATTATTAGTACAATAATTGATATCTACCTCACAATTTAGTCCAGAATATCCCGGTTGACAGATACATGTATAGTTTGTTTGTTCCTCAGTACAGGTGGCGTTGTTCAGACATGTATTATTTGCACAATAATTGATATCTATCTCACAATTACGTCCAGTATATCCCGGTTGACAGATACATGTATAGTTTGTTTGTTCCTCAATACAGGTGGCATTGTTCAGGTATGTATTATTAGTACAATAATTGATATCTATCTCACAAATAAGTCCAGAATATCCCGATTGACAGATGCATGTATAGTTTGTTTGTTCCTCAATGCAGGTGGCATTGTTCAGGCATGTATAATTAGTACAATAATTGATATCTACCTCACAATTAAGTCCAGTATATCCCGGTTGACAGATACACGTATAGTTTGTTTGTTCCTCAATGCAGGTTGCATTGTTCAGACATGTATTATTTGTACAAAAATTGATATCTTTCTCACAATTAAGTCCAGTATATCCCGGTTGACAGATACATGTATAGTTTGTTTGTTCCTCAATGCAGGTGGCATTGTTCAGGCATGTATTATTAGTACAATAATTGATATCTACCTCACAATTTAGTCCAGAATATCCCGGTTGACAGATACATGTATAGTTTGTTTGTTCCTCAATGCAAGTTGCATTGTTCTGACATGTATTGTGTGTACAAAAGTTGATATCTTTCTCACAATTTAATCCAGTATATCCCGGTTGACAGATACATGTATAGTTTGATTGTTCTTCAATGCAGGTTGCATTGTTCTGACATGTATTGTGTGTACAATAATTGATATCTACCTCACAATTTAATCCGGTATATCCCGGTTGACAGATACATGTATAGTTTGTTTGTTCCTCAATGCAGGTGGCGTTGTTGAAACATGTATTATTTGTACAATAATTGATATCTACCTCACAATTTAATCCGGTATATCCCGGTTGACAGATACATGTATAGTTTGTTTGTTCCTCAATGCAAGTGGCATTGTTCAGACATGTATTATTTGTACAATAATTGATATCTACCTCACAATTACGTCCAGTATATCCCGTTTGACAGATACATGTATAGTTTGTTTGTTCCTCAATGCAGGTTACATGATTCTGACATGTATTATTTGTACAAAACCTGATATCTATCTCACAATTTAGTCCGGTATATCCCGGTTGACAGATACATGTATAGTTTGTTTGTTCCTCAATGCAGGTTGCATTGTTCAGGCATGTATTATTTGTACAATAATTGATATCTACCTCACAATTTAGTCCAGTATATCCCGGTTGACAGATACATGTATAGTTTGTTTGTTCCTCAATGCAGGTTGCATTGTTCAGGCATGTATTATTTGTACAATAATTGATATCTACCTCACAATTAAGTCCAGTATATCCCGGTTGACAGATACATGTATAGTTTGTTTGTTCTTCAATGCAGGTGGCATTGTTCAGGCATATATTATTTGTACAATAATTGATATCTATCTCACAATTACATCCAGTATATCCCTGTTGACAGATACATGTATAGTTTGTTTGTTCCTCAATGCAGGTGGCATTGTTCAGGCATGTATTATTAGTACAATAATTGATATCTACCTCACAATTTAGTCCAGAATATCCCGGTTGACAGATACATGTATAGTTTGTTTGTTCCTCAGTACAGGTGGCGTTGTTCAGACATGTATTATATGTACAATAATTGATATCTACCTCACAATTTAATCCAGAATATCCCGGTTGACAGATACATGTATAGTTTGTTTGTTCCTCAATGCAGGTTGCATTGTTCTGACATGTATTATTAGTACAATAATTGATATCTACCTCACAATTTATTCCGGTATATCCCTGTTTACATATACATGTATAGTTTGTTTGTTCCTCAATGCAGGTTGCATTACTTTGACATGTATTATTTGCACAAAAGTTGATATCTTTCTCACAATTACGGCCAGTATATCCCGGTTGACAGATACATGTATAGTTTGTTTGTTCCTCTATGCAGGTGGCGTTGTTCTGACATGTATTATTAGTACAATAATTGATATCTACCTCACAATTTATTCCGGTATATCCCTGTTTACATATACATGTATAGTTTGTTTGTTCCTCAATGCAGGTTGCATTGTTCTGACATGTATTACTAGTACAATAATCGATATCTATTTCACAATTAAGTCCAGTATATCCCGGTTGACAGATACATGTATAGTTTGTTTGTTCTTCAATGCAGGTTGCATTATTTTGACATGTATTATTTGCACAAAAGTTGATATCTTTCTCACAATTACGGCCAGTATATCCCGGTTGACAGATACATGTATAGTTTGTTTGTTCCTCAATGCAGGTTGCATTGTTCAGGCATGTATTATTAGTACAATAATTGATATCTATCTCACAATTTAGTCCAGAATATCCCGGTTGACAGATACATGTATAGTTTGTTTGTTCCTCAGTGCAGGTAGCGTTGTTCAGACATGTATTATATGTACAATAATTGATATCTACCTCACAATTTAAACCAGAATATCCCGGTTGACAGATACATGTATAGTTTGCTTGTTCCTCAATGCAGGTTGCATTGTTCTGACATGTATTATTAGTACAATAATTGATATCTTTCTCACAATTTAATCCAGAATATCCCGGTTGACAGATACATGTATAGTTTGTTTGTTCCTCAATGCAGGTGGCATTGTTCAGGCATTTATTATTAGTACAATAATTGATATCTACCTCACAATTTAATCCAGAATATCCCGGTTGACAGATACATGTATAGTTTGTTTGTTCTTCAATGCAGGTTGCATTGTTCTGACATGTATTATTAGTACAATAATTGATATCTTTCTCACAATTTAATCCAGAATATCCCGCATTGACAATACATGTATTAGTTTGTTTGTTCCCAAATGCAGGTGGCATTTTCAGGCATGTATTATTAGTACAAATAATTATATCTACCTCACAAAATTTAGTCCCCAGAATTATCCCGGGTTGACAGATACGATGTATAGTTTGTTTGGTTCCTCAATGCAAGGTTCATTTTCTGAACATTGTATTTGTGTACAAAAAGTTGATAATGCTTTCTCACAATTAATCCAGTATATCCCGGTTGACAGATACATGTATAGTTTGATTGTTTCTTCAATGCAGGCTTGGGCATTGTTCGACATGTATTGTGGTGTACAATAATTGATATCTTACCTCACAATTTAATCCAGAATATCCCGGTTGACAGGTACTTGTATATTGGGTTATCGTCGTCAAAACAGGTAGCGTTGTTTTTGACCATGGATCGTTGTTGCATAATCTTATGTCCATATCACAGTTAAATCCTTCAAAACCTTCATCACAGTCACATGAATATATGTTCACATCATTTGAACAACGGCCATGTTTGCATACATTATTGCAACAAAAATCTCTCTCGTCACAATTGAAGTTCTTGTATCCATTTTCACATGTGTTATTACTTGTGGACGTGCCATTTAGAAAATGATAAGTTTTGTTGTAAGGAAGTATATAAGTTGAAAACACGTTACATCTGTCGCCTGCAAAACCATCTGGACACTGGCATACACCGTTATTACATGTTCCTTTTCTACAGTGATAGTCTATTTGCATTGACGAGGTTTCGTTATTGTTTGCTTGTGACTCTGAAAAACATATCATATTGATGACCTTACATCTACTATATCTTGCAGTTTGCCGTTGGACAAATATGTATCTACGGATTAAGAGGCCTGCATAGACGTGATTATAAAACCCGGGTGCATTATGGAACAAAAGTTGCATAACAACCAAAGTGATACAATACAATTACAATAGTACTTTGATGTACCTTTTTTATATTATGCAGTCGATAAAATGCACAAATGAGCGCTGCTTGAATCTACGTGCCATTTGAGCCGCGTCACGACAAAACCAACATAATGGGTTTGCGACCAGCATGGATCCAGACCAGCCTGCGCATCCGCGCAGTCTGATCAGGATCCATGCTCTTCGCTATCAGTTTCTCTACTTGTAATAGGGTTTGTAAGCGAACAGCATGGATCCTGATCAGACATAAATTCTGAAACAGTGTTTTTAATAATGAAAAATAGATATAAAAAGTACAATTCACGCATACTCCAAAGTTGCACTGCGTTTTTGCATGAGGACATTGAACGTTTTAATTAACTTCTTACAATCAAAAAAGCTAAGACTCTTATCTGAGAAGGACAATTTAATTTTTTAGTTTATGGCAACATCATGTAAGAGATTTATGAAATGTTTAGCCACTGAATTAATTGCCTGATTTTCAGGTCTGTGACATATTAAGTTAAACCGGGCGTTTGACCCTCGCCGCAACTGTTAGATCGACTATCATACAATAAAAATAGTATAATACATACCTATACATTCTCCAATGTTGCAATTTATGTTGTCGGGAGGACATGTCTCGTTGCACGCTTTACCGTAGAATCCAGTAGAACACCACACCATCATTTCAATATCAACACTTAAAATATTTTGTAATGTATTGATAAAGGTATAGAGGATATTCGTTTGTTTTGCGTGTAAGATTGAAATATATTTCGCTGAGTGAACACCTGATGCAATATTTTCACCAATGGCATAGCCACGAGTGAAAATAGAATAGCTGGTGTTCACGAATGAAATATATTTCAATCGTATATGTACTACAAATAAATTATTCTTTTTATTTCTTACTTTTAAAGTGATTTTTAGCACTTTTTCCTTTTTTTGCCGCGTAACGTCGCGCATTCTCCTTTATGACGTCATGACGTCACATCATAAATGTTGAAATATAGGTCTCTTAAATTTTTCTTATTTTGTTACATCTTTAACATGATGTATGATCTTTAACATGATGTATAATGATCTCAACTTCTTTTCATACAGAAGCAAAATTTACGTATGACGCCTTTTACTTTTGCCTGTTATTCCATTGAGTTATAATATTCTTTTCATACGCATTCAGATCTTGTCCAGCTATGTACAGTAAAAATTATATTTTATAAATTTCACTAGTGGTTTATCAGAATATTATCATCTGATTTATTACCCTTCCAGATTTGTTCAGCCTTTTGTATTTGATATTGATCACCCGAAAGAAATTGATATTACCGAGCCAGACGAGTAATATACACACTAAATCTCCCCGTTGGGTACCCCACGTTGTAAACATCATGCGCTGTGGCGATGCGCGTACGGTTTGATTTTACGCGATGTAAATTCCGATTTACAAGCACTTTTTAACTGTCAAATGATAATTATTTACCAAAATAGAGTAATGATACATATTTTCATCAGTATTGAAAACAAATATGACCTTGTGAAAGCTTGATATTAATTCCAAAAAAGTGCTTTCAACAGACTACTCCTTTTCTTTTGTTTACATTCGTTTGATTCGAAAGAAAATACGTCATGTATTTATGTGACGTCATGTTGTGGTAAAGGGGTACCCTAAAGGGAATCTTATTTCGACGTTTCATTTGAAGCAGCAATGATGTGTTTTAAAATCGTCTTAACTTGGCAGGGGAAGGGTAATAAAATTATTATTTTGGTTTTGGAGTGATATATGTGAATATATTACCTGCCAAGATAAAATATCACCCTCGCCCGACGGCTCGGGTGATATAAAATCTTGACAGGTAATATATCCACATATATCACTCCAAAACCAAAATAACATATAATATTCTATTACAGTTTATCACTGGAAAGCATGAAATAAAAGTTTATTATATACTTTATAAACATGACAAAGCCTCCAAACGAGATTTTTTGGCAGAATATATTTTAATCGATTGATTTATTCACTAAGTTATTATGAACCCATTGGCAGTTTCACATTATTACACACTTACTAAGAATTGCAAACTTTAGACCGCACAATTCACTCAACGATTCTACACACTATACTTTTTATTTTCGAGATACTATCATTTCATGTTTTATATATTTTCATATCTAAATTGAATATACTGGGATCTTTCGTATTACCGGACAAAATATGATGGTTTTTTTCGCTGTAACTTTTATTTAAAACCATAAAAACGAACGGAACTTTACCCATTTGATTTTGGGTTTTTTATACACAAAAACGTTATTTTATCACGAAATTTAACATTTTGACCAGAAAACCGTGTCTTAAAAGAAAGGGTATTATAAGAGAAAAATGTGTAAGGACGACTCAATTTACCGGACATTCATTGTGTTTCAAGTAAATTGAAATTTATCTTTAAATAATCAGCAAGAAAACTACTACAAAGTTAAAACATCCTGTATGTTGTAATAAAGGTTATTACCACACTTAAGTGAATTTTTATTTATTTATGTATATAATTAAACAAACATCAAAGAATATGTAAAAATGTACTGCAAATATTTGTTCACATTACATCATTAAATATATGCATTTTCATTTCTTATTGAAAAATTTGACTTAGACTTTATAGAAAATAAATTTCTAATTATCTCCCTTTATTAACATGAAATGTAAATTCGGTAGTACCTTTACAAATAATGCTTTTTGGAACTTACAATATTGATATTGATAATCATTCATTTGAGCATTATACGTATGATATAAAACCATAAAATTTGAGTTACAGGAACTTTAAGATGTTGGAAAAAAAATGATATTAAAAAATAGACACGGCAGCCATGCTTATTACGAAGTGGCCTATATATATGGGGTGTAATGGAAATTCACTTTATTAAGTCAATCATCGTAAATCATGAAACATAAGCTTTATGTTCACTTGGAATTCTGTTCTTTGTCAAACAGTTTCATTTTCGTCATTATGAAGCCTGTAAAATCCAGTCAATACATTTTACATTTCATGTAGAGTTTCCTCCCATGGTTTGAAAAATCGGGCGTGGCCCGTTTCTTTATATGGTTTTTAATTTGCAATTCCTTGTAAAAGACAACAACGAAATACTATTTGTATTAAATTTAAATATAGTTTTATCATTAAAATGTGTTTTGATTGTCTGCTGTGATAAAGCAGAGAAAATATTAAAGCGAAACTTATCTAAAATAACCCATTAAGAGCCTCAATATTCGGGCATGAGCAGAACACATTATTCCCCCGCATGACCAGGTCATGAAATTAGAAGTACACAAAAGAGCATGTAAGTAAATCAAGAACTGAATCAACAATATTTACATGGGAGTGGTTTTGTTGTTATTTATTTCGAAATGAAAGTGTTTTGGCGATTAAGACCGGATTGCTTTTGAATCGAAACAAAATTAAAGCAATATTAGACAGGTAAAGGTTTTGTCCGGTAAACTGATTGTCCGGTAAATATGAAGGATCCCAGTACGCTTCGGAGAACTTAAACTGATTTAAAATCAAATTTCGAGATTAATATTTCTAATTCGAGAAAAGGATATCGTGAAAAGGAAACCTACTGGAAGTTGATATTAACTCGGCGTCTAATTCTTTTTATTTTATAAGTTGCGTATAAATATTATTATTTTGACTGTAATTTACCATAACTTGTAAAGTGTACTTGAATCAGTGTTTTTATAAATTCATCAAACGATCGTGAATGCGTAAAGAGTCTTCTGCGAAACTTCGCATTTGGATTTATGGTAATCGGCAAGGGATTACGAATGTCAATTTGAATAGGAGACATAATGAGACAGGAAACCAGAAAAACTAATCACCTGCGTGCTTCGAAGGTAACCTGCTGATACTGATTCCGGGCATAGTAGGACCAGGAACCAAAAAAAAACACTTCCATTGAAGAGTGTGCAAACTTATTACGCATTGGTTTAATGTACTTTCGGCAAAAAAGGTTTTCATTGTCTGACATAGTCTGATTGATCGCACATGCAGCCCTTGCGATGAATGCATTTTCAAAATATTTTTAAGGTTTTAAAGATCTGAATTTTAAATTAATACATTATATCACCCCTAGAATAATTCTTAATGAGTTTGCGATATGTACTAAAATTTTATTTATGGTTAACAAAGGTCGTGCGCATATGTACAACACATTCAATAGAGATTGAACTTACCTTACTTTTGTATAATTGTTCATCTTACTTATCAATATAGGTCTTGCGAGAAGATAACTTGAACTAACAACGTCAACACTATCCAATGTAATGTTCATGATCGCAATAGGTTCTTTGTTGTTGTCGATTTGATAGATTTCCAACGTAATGTTGTCATTTTTATCCTGTAGAGAGGTAGGGAGAGAAAAGGCAAACAAAACGTTTAGTACAACTAATGGGATTTTGACTTCTAAGAACATTTCCTGCCGAACTAAAATTACTTCTTTCCAGCAACTTTAAAAGCACTGTTTCTATTTCAATATTATTCCCAATTTTATGAGAATATATTAGAAACTCTCTGCTTAACTAACGAGCTTAAACCTTTTAAAATAATCGAAAAGCATAAAAGCTTTCGTTACTTCGAGTATACACCTTTCCAAATAAAATACATAAATTACTTGCCATTTTTAAAAATAAAACATGTATGTGATCCATGCTCCATGTTATAGATTGCCTAAATACTGTTGGGATTAATCAAAAGTGCATTAATTTATATTCATTCTAAAGACGAATCTAATGCGACTACATGTTTGCTAAATATTAATAAGTCAAAATATTAGCCTAAATTATTTCATACTTACTATAAACCTGAGAGATGAGCTTTAATACAGATGTAAAAATATTCCTAAAATTTTTATGAGTCTTAACTGTAATTGTATAAAATATATTAAATGACAAGCATCTAAATTCATTTTATTTAATTATAATAAACTTAGAATTTCTAAACGTAATGCGTATTATGTTAAAAAAATTCAGTCCTGGAATAAACTTTAATCTCCTATACGATTGATAAGCTCCAACAACTTTAATATCCATGTTTATAAATATTACATGATATATATATATATATGACGTTACGTCACTTCCATTGTTTTGTTTGATATATTTATATGTGAAATAAATGCTGCTGAAGAAGGCCGCAAGGCCGGCCGAAAGCTACGGCAAATTTATAATAGCGTTTTTGATTATATATATCTATATATAAAAAGTGAATAGGAATGAGGTCACGTGCACAAAGAAAACTAAAGAAGAACAGCTACCCATATTTTACTGCTATGCCAGAATAAACTGTTGTTTATTTTGTCCATTGGATTTGATTCGTCAACAAGGTTTCCAAAGCAATCGATAAGTGGCTCCTCAGCTGGAGAATGTTTACGAAGAGTGTGCTCAACACTGCAAAAATATAAATAAATGTTTTATTTCATGCTTTTCAGTGATTACTGATTGATCCGTGAAAATTATATTAGATAATTTCACAGTGAAAATTATCAAAATATAATTTCACTCTTTTCTATGACGAACCTACTTTTTTAAGTTTTCCCCATGTGGTTCCTCAATATTATTTTTGCTGACAATTCTGACATTGTCAGGGCTGTTTAGTAGACGCAAAGCTAAACTTGATAAATAACTT